ACATCTTGTAGTTATAATAGTCTATTTTAAACTGATTACTTATCTTCAGTTGCATATACAACTCTATACTTCTCTCTGCCCCTTACCATTTTATGTTAATGGTGTCAAGATGTATGTCTTTTTTATAGCATGTGTCCATTAATACATTTTTGTAATTACAGCAATTTGTGTTTTTTTAATCAATATTTTTTATTATGATTTTGTGGGGTACAGTTAAGGGTTAGGTATACAATTACGTTTCATTCAGGCACCCTGTTGATAAGAGGTGTTTCCCCATCCCCAGATAGATATTTGCGACTGTTAATCCCATCCCCCCCCATAGTTTCCCAGTACCGTCAGTCATTTTCTTATAGTATTACATTGGATGTTCAAGGTCCATTATATGAGTGAGAACATGTAATACTAGGATCTTTGTTTCTGTGAGAGGTCACTCAGTATTATAGACTCTAGTTCCATCCAGGTTGCTGCGAAATTCATGATTTTGTTCTTTTTTATGACAATTACAGCAGTTTTTAATACTTTTTTTCTAACTTTTATACTGGAATTAAAAGTTATTTACATACCACCATTACAGTATTAGAGTAGTCTTATTTTAATTGTATATTTACTTTTACCAGTGAGTTTTATACTTTCATATGTTTTCATGTTACTAATTAGTGCCCTTTCATTTCAACTTGAAAAACTCCCTTTTGTAGTTTTTATAAGACAGCACTAATGATAATGAGCTACTTCAAGTTTTGTGTGTCTTGGAAAGGCTTTCTCTCTCCTTCATTTCTTAATGATATAGTTGTCTGGCAAATTCTTCTAGGTTGGCAGTTTTTTTAAAGTACTTTGAATGTATTATTTTACTCTCTCCTGGACTACAGAGTTTCTGCTGAGTGATCCACTGATAGTCACATGAGGTTCCCTTGTATGTGACAAGTTCCTTTTTTCTTGCTGTAATCAAAATCCTCTTCTTGTCACTGACTTTTGAAACTTTGATTATAGTGTGTCTTGATGATGGTTTTCTTATGTTCAATTTATTTGGAATTCTTTGGGCTTTTATGGATTTGGATGTTAATTACTCTTTTCAGATTTGGAAGGTGTTCTGTTATTATTTCTTTAAATAAACTTTTTGTCCTTTACTCTTTTGATGTTCCTTTTGAAATTTTCATAATGAGTATATTAGTTTACTTGTGACGGTATTGCATATACCCTGTATGCTTTCTTCACTTTTTTATGTTCTTTTTTATTTTTGTTTCTCTGACTGAATACTTTCAAATTATATGTCTTTAAGTTCAGTTTCTTTCTTCTTTTTGGTGAAATTTACTATTAAGGTTTTCTATTTAAATTTTCATTTCAGTCATTGTGTTTTTCAGGTCCAGAATTTCTATTCTTTTATGGTTTCTGTTTCTCATGCCTTTTTAAGATGGCCATTATTCTTCTTTAAAAGGATTATTTGAATTCTTTGTCAGGCAGTTCATAGATCACATTTCTTTTTTTTTTGAGTTGGAGTCTCACTCTGTCGCCCAGACTGGAGTGCAGTGGCCACTCCTGGCCACCGCAGCCTCAACCTGCTGGGCTCCAGCGTTACTTCCGCCTCAGCAGATCACATTTCTTTGGGGTCAAACACTGGAGTTTAGTTTTGTTACTTTGGTGATATCATGGTTTTTTTTTTTTTTAATTTTTAAAAATGATCCTTAAAGCCTTGTATTTCTGTGTTTGCATTTGAAAAAGAAGTCACCTCCTCCAGTCTTTACTGCCTGGTTTTAGAGCTGAAAGACCTTCACCAATCATCCCAGCTAGACATTTTGGAAATTTCTCAAACCACTGGATATACTCATTCCACTCCTCTTGTTCCTTCTTCTGGGGAAGTCTTAGATTTGTGTGCTTTGTCTTGATCCTTTAATACTGAGCAGAGTGCTGAGAGCCTTTATTCATTTTCTCCAAGACAGTACCCTAAAGTGTTCAAGGCTGTGTGACTTCTCCCAATCCAGCAGATCCAGGAGACTGTTGATGTCTGTGTGCTATCTTCAGGGGCTCATGTGTATCATCTCCAGAGGACCACATGCACTGTCTGGAGGGGAGCAAGGGATTCTGGCCATAGGGGGAGCTTCACAGGGTCTCAGGGGTACTTGTTATCTAATTGGAGGATCTTCAGGTGAGATGTTTTATGGGGTTTGTAGAGTCCATGAACCATTTAGTAGGATCTGCAGCTGTTTGTTGAGATCTACATAGTGGTTTCTGTGAGCCCCTGCCCCTTTTTCTTGCTCCTTTCTGTCCCTAGACAGCTGAGGGGACATGTCAGTTCCCTCAGTGTTCTGAGTGGAGTGAGACAGAAGTAGACCTCTTGGCCAGCATCCCACAAGCCAGGGAAAGCTGGGCACTCACTTAACTCACTTTCCTGTGTTGGGAAAATTGTGAGCTGAAGGATTCTCTCTTGGCACTGAGTTATGCCATCCTGGAGGAGGACGTTAGGGTAAAATGAAATTCTTCTTCTTACCCTCTTCAATGCATCTATTCTTGTTATTTTATTTTTTTCTCCTCTGGTGTGCTAGAACTTGCACCTAGACTCCCAAGCTGTCATGAAGATATTGTCATCTGTGGGTGGTTGTGAAAATTAGTGTTTCTGTGGGGATTTTTAAAGCTGGAACCTCCTATTCTGCCATCTTCCTGATGCTCAAAGCTGGAACCTCCTATTCTGCCATCTTCCTTAGGCAGTGTCATCTGTTTCTTCTTAAGGTAAATACATAATCCAGACATAGAGGCTGTATATATCACCTATTATAAACATAAATATTCTAAAAGACTCACTTGTGAACTTTCAGGAGAACTACTCTAGAACCATTATGATCTCTACCCTGGATTATGCTTCTAATACTTTAGTCCGCCTGCACAACTCTTAGAGATCTTTTTTAAGATGCAGATTGTGATTCAGAAGGTCTGTGGTAGGACCTGAGATTCTGAACTTCTTAATAAGCTTCCAAGTGCTGTTGTTCTCTAAGCACTGAGTCACAAGGTATACTGTCTCCTAAAAATTTACACTCACACATAAATTACAGAGATTTGTATTGATAAAGTATGATCAAGATTGAGATGTAGTGGGAGAGCCATCTGGGGATGTGCATTTGAGTCACAGTGCTTATTCTCTTGTAATAGGAAAAAACATATTGCCTATTCAGTTCAGCAGTGTAGTTGTTGGCATATGACTACCTCCATAATCAAAATAAAAATTGAGTAGGCTGCTATTAGAAAGATTTTTAGCAATTAAGGAATCTGGATCCAAGTATATCATGGTATATAAAACTTTGCTGGAGTTAATAGAACCTTTTCCCCCAGAATTCTGGTAGGTTATATGGAAAGTTTTGGGCACACTTTTGATGTGTTATAAATAACATGTTCTATCAATTGAGAAAGGAGAAAATTCTCTGGATTTTTGCCCCTGGGCACCGATCAGGATAGAAAAGTGCCTTTGCCACCGTTCTTCTGAACACCCTTTGCTTCAGTTTCCTGTGTATGTGGTGAAGATAGTTGTGACTACTTCCTGAGGGGGAAGTGCTCAAGTGCCAGGTGACTGCAAAAGAATCGTTGTTGTTTTCTCTTCTGAATATTCTCGTCCTGGGAGTGGAATTTGCGGTGCTCCATTTATTGGCATATTTGAGAGTAAGAACAATAATTCAGAAAAACCATCTCTTCTAAAATGCCTTATTTTAAAATGTCAGATTTACTAATTTTTGAAATCTAAAGCCTATACTGGTAGTCCCACTAAACTCATTCAGTGGAAAATGTCAATCATGAGAGTCTGGATGAGGGTATATGCCTTGCAAAGCAGGAATGGCAGCACTTTTTAATGATATCAGCTTTGGCAATTAAAATGGTTGCCTTTCAGAAGTGCTAAGTAGATGATTTCTTCCAGCCAGCTACTCCTAACTGTTATCTTTACTTTCAATTGACAATTGGATCCTGCTAATTTTACTTCTGTAGTGTTTCTGAAATCTGCTTCTATCTACAATGGATTTACCATTGGATTTGCCACTGCAGTTACCCTCTCTTTTCATAGGCCCTTGTCTTCTCTACCCTGAGCCATTATGATAACTTGCTACATGATGTCTACAGTTCTAGGTTCATCCCAGTGCTAGTCACCTCCATCTCTTGTCATTGGAGTTTGTCTTCCTAAAACCTAGTTCTAATCATCCCATTTTCTTCTCTGGAGACTAGTGTTGACTTTCCAGTGCCTATAAGATAAAATGAGACTTTTAGCATAGCTTTTGCCTTCTACTGACCGTAAGACAAAGTCACGTTTTATCCACTCTGCTCTGGCTTCCTAAGATCTTGGAACACTTAGGTATTTTGTTAAATGCACAGTACATTGTTGTACATCTTTACCTTTTCATAAGCTGAGCCCTTTGTTTGGACTCTGCTTCACCACTTCTCTAATTAGAAAGCCCTTTTTTGGTTATTCAAAAAGGAAGTGATATTTTCTTAGGAACATCCTCCTGAGACCCTTTCCCTAATCTCCCATGGTTCCTGCTTAAGCTTTTTACAAAGCATCACTTGTGATACATTCTGATAACTTATGTGTCTGTCTTTCCCACGATACCATAAGTTCTGGAGCTGAGGTTTTGCTTCGGGCATCCCTGTACATATCTGGCCTCTAATAAAAGAGCTGGCATATAATAGGTATTTAATCAATAGTTCTTGAATATGGATGGATGGAGAGGATAGAAGGACTGGATAAATTTTAAAAATGAAATGGAGAGATTCGTCTTCCCAAATGATGTAAGTTATTTGTTCATGATAAATCAAAAGAAAAAGCAGGATCTATATATGTGTGTAAATATATAGGTATATATGCATGTATCTACACACAACACACACAGTTCATAGTATGACTCTGAAGCTGTGAGTCTTTCTTTTTAGATGATATTTAGTAAGAAAAGAACCCGATAACTTTGCTTTTAAGGACTGGCATTTTAAAAATTTTTGCTTGAACATAATACTGCACTTTGTCCCTATTCTAGAATGACAGAGGTCTTCGGCTAGTGGCTAATTCAGTGGTGTGGGTTCCAGAAGGTGGGATGCTACAGATTACCAACAGAATCCTACAGGCCGAAGCTCTTGGTGTCAGCGCTGAAGAAATCATCTACGAAATTACACAAGACCACCCTCAGTTTGGTAACTGCTTTTCCCTTTGGCATGATTTCACCTTTACATTTAACAATGTAGGATTTGCTTTTGTACAATGCCCTGCAGCAAGGTTGTAATTCCAATGAACCAAACTTTCTGATACCTTACACAATCCTTTTAAAAACAGAATTATCATGATATCCCTCATACTATACACACTTACTTGGTAGTATTCTAAGTTTTATAAACATCTTATAAATACCACCTACATTTTGAGTTTCAAAGCAGCTTCATTTTGAAGATTTAAAAAAACTGTTGAAAAATCACTAGCTATGTCAGCTTAATTTCAAAGATCAGGCTCTCAAACTCTACCTTATATCCTTTTCAGAATATCACTCGACTTCTTGATGAGACTTAATAAAAAATTACCTAGAAACATGTTTCAGTGTTCTTCATTGTTACTTCTACTTCCAGCAACATGGTAGAGTGTGAAAACCTGAGAAATTTCCCATCATCATCATCACCAAGAAATGCTGGATAAAATATAGCAGGAATGACAAGGTGCTCATAGCTGACTTCTCAAGAATAGAGAGAAATCTCCAGGTGCCAGCAACAAAGAAGGCCCTGAAAGCTAGTCTGTGCACGACCTAATGGAAAAGCTTCTCTAAGACGGGTTGTGTGTGTCTCAACAACCCAGGGACTTGGGACTTAATGCCCATGCAGAGACAGGGTGTTGGAATTAAGAACCTGCATAAGAGCAAAACTCTGAAAGACAAGCATTCAATTAGAGGAGCAGAATAGAAAACAAGAAGCTCACTGGCCTAGAGAGATGGCAGAGAAATCTGCCCGTGTTTCCTGGAGTTCAGAGTAGAAAAAAAAGTCTTTTGAGAATCAAGAACTTCAGACCTCTTTGGGATTGAACTGCCTGGAATGTCTTATATAAAAGCCTAAAACTGGAGCATTATATGAAAACTAATCTCAGGCCAATGATACTTCTTAAGTTCTTTGTAGAAACTAGTAGAAACTATGATAGAAGGACTGCCCTCAAGCAGGCCACACAGGATCCTCAGAAAAGGCCACAGAAGATTAGTTCAGCATTTAATAATTATAGAACATATTAGGAAGAGAATCTGTAGAACCATTACAAAAACATACATGAAGATTAAAACACCAAGAATATTAAATAATGATCTTATAGAAACTATGAAATCATACTTAAAATGATTTAAAGACATAAAAAAGGGAATTTATACAATTGAAATAAAATGTTATAAAGTTTTTTTTTTTTTGAGTTGGAGTCTCACTCTGTCGCCCAGACTGGAGTGCAGTGGCCGCTCCCAGCCACCGCAGCCTCAACCTGCTGGGCTCTGGTGATTCTTCCACCTGAGCCTTCCGAGTAGCTGGAACTACAGGCATGTGCCATCACGCCTGGCTAATTTTTTGATTTATTGTAGAGATGAGGTCTCACCAAGTTGCCTGGGATGGTCTCGAACCTGTGGACTCAGGTAATACTCTCGCCTCAGCCTCCCAAAGTGCTAGGATTATAGGCATGAGCCACTGCATCCGGTCATATTTTGATCATCTGAAAATGAAAATTATATTTATTAAAAGTAAAAACTCACTTGGCACATTAAACAGCAGAGGAAGAATTATATTATTTCTGTAGTAAGGAAAATATTAACTTTTATACAATTTAAAAATAATTACAATGTCCAAAAAGACATTGAAAAGCACTATCTAATCAAGAATTTAGGTTATGATTATAAAACAGTCAGTCTAGGTGAGGTGTCATTTATTATAACTATGCCATCTTAAAAAAGACAACATGCTCTCTTAGGCCATAGGTTTCTTTGAGAAGTTAGGCTAAATCATTTTGTAGAATGCTTATTTTAAAATAGTTTTAGACCTATTGAAAAGTTGCAAAAATAGTACAAAAGCGTTTTGAATACCCTTTACCCATCTTTCCCTAATGTTAATATCTTACAAAACTATAGAATAATTATTGAAACAAGGAAATTAACATTGATATGATACTTTTATCTAATCCACAGGTTTCATTCAAATGTTGCCAGTTTTCCCACTGATGCCATTTCTTCAACCCAACCCAGGATACCAAATGGCATTTAATTGTCATGTCTCTTTGGTGTCCTTCATTCTATGATACTTCCTTGGTCTTTGTTTTGTTATGACCATGACACTTTGGAAGAGTGTTGGTCAGATAGTTGCAGAATGTTAATTTTTATTTGTCTGATGATTTCTCATTATTTTGTTGAGGTTATACTCTTTCCCTATTCCCAGTGCATCATATCAGGAAGTACATAATGTCACTATTATTTCTGGTGATGCTGACTTTGGTCACTTGGTTAAAGTGGTGTCTGCCAGGTTTTACTACTGTAAAGTTGCTATTTTTCCATTTCTCATTAATGTTTTCTGTTCTCATCATACTTTTGACTAGTTTTTTAAGTTAGAGAGTTTTTAAGTTTTTAATCTTTAAAAAACTTGCCTCTTTTGATGTATTAAATTATCTACCTTTTTTTAATCTTTATCATTAAAAGCCAAAGAATTAAGCATCCAAATTTTCTAGCAACAACTCAATAACTGGTTAAATATTAAACAAAATAATGCTGGATTAAATGGTTTTTAAGCAGATAAAAGTTTGCCATTTTAACTTGATAAGTGCCACATATACTTTAGTGACCCTTTCCTGCTATTACTCTTAATTAAGTTCTTCCTATGAAGAGGTCCAGAGCTCCCAATAGCAACAATCAAATCACATCACTTTTAGGAATCACTGAAGAATGAAAAAGGTGGTAGGAACTAGAAGCCCACTTGATACAAATTTATGTAGTCTGACAATTAAGTTCCTGAACTCATTCTAGAAAAAGTGCTGCATACCTCACTGTTGAATATCACTATCGTCACCTTCAAAGAACTCCCCTTTGGAAGCTATACACCAATGCCAACACTTAGTCCACCCATCAGAGCAATTTTGCAACTCTTTTTCTGGAATGACCATCAGAGATGTCATTGTGAGAATGTCAGAGTTTGAATCAGAGCAACGAACAAACATTAAATTTCTTGTTAAACTTGGCAAGAGTGAAAGTGAAATCAGGGACATGTTAGTCCAAATTTATCAGGATAATGCCATGAAATAAATGGTAATGTACACACGGATTAAATATTTTTCTGAGGGGAGAGATAGCGACACTGATGAAGAGAGGTCAGGATAGTCAATATTGAGCAGAACTGACGAAAACATTGTAAAAATTCATCAAATTGTGTGTCAAAATCATTGGCTGACTGTGAGAAGCATAGCAGACAAAATAAACATCAATAGAGAAACAGTTAGGAAAATCTTAACTGAAAATCTTGGCATGAGAAAGGTGTGTGCAAAAATGGTCCCAAAGGAGCTCTTGCATCATGACAATGCACCGGCTCACATTTGTGAAGGAGTTTTTAACCAGTAAACATATAACTGTTTTGGAACACCCTCCCTACTCACCTGATCTGGCTCCCAATGACATTCAGGACATCAAGCGTAATGCAACGGCAGTTCTGACGGCCATTCCAGAAAATGAGTTCCAAAATTGCTTTGACAGGTGGACTAGGTACTGGCGTCAGCGCATAGCTTCCTAAGGGGAGTCCTTCAAAGGTGACCATAGTGATACTCAGCAATGAGGTATGTAGCACCTTTGCTAGGGTGAATTCACAGACTTAAACGTCAGACCTTGCATTGATCCCCTGATGATGTGAATTTGTGGAGCCCTTGGCTTAAGCTTCTTTATCACTTTAGAATGTGCAAGTTGGGCTTTAGGCTTTTTTGCAAAGAACTGACCTCAGATCAGAAGAAAAGTAAATTGTTTATATAGTATGTGTTAAAGGACCTAAGTTCAACCACTTGCAGACTTACCACTATTTTCAGATACATATGTCTCTCAATTTACATGGAGTTACACCCCAGTAAACCCGTGGAAAGTTGAAAATATTGTATAAGTTGAATATGCATTTAATATGCCTAACCTACCAAACACCATAGCTCAGCCTAGCCTAACTTAAATGTGCTCAGAGCACTTGAATTGATCTACAGTTGAGCAAATCATGTAACACAAAGCCTGTTTTATAAGCGTTCAATATCTCATGTAATTTTAAAATACTGTACTGTGGTAAAAAACAAAATGACTTCGTACCATCATAACATCAAAAAATTGCAAGTCAAACAATTATAAGCTAGGGACTGTCAGTGTAAGTTTAAATACATTGATGAATACTTGTGCCCTTAGCTACTTTACAGGTTTGAAAATATAATGAGATGATTTTAATGAAGTAACTTGAGTATTCTTTGAGAGAGAATCTAACTTAGCCTAACACACTGCCTACTCTAAATTATTTATCATAATGTAAGAAAGTGTTAATTAATATAAATGATCTACATCCCAAAACAACTTATGAAGATTCAAATGAGATTTCAATTCTTAATACTTACTAATTCTTACAAAATACTTCATTAAAGCATGGACTTCAGTATAAAGTAAATCCCAAATAGAGATGATTTTCTGTTTTTTGAACCTGGATTTTCATACATTTAAAGTGTTATCTTACTACAGTCATATTATGATAAAAGCAGAGGTGAGCTACAACACAAATGGTTAACTCTTTAGTTGGATATGGTCATGTGCACCTGTAGTCTTGGCTACTCAGGAGGCTGAATAGGGAGGATTGCTTGAGCCCAGGAGTTTGAGGCTGTGGTGGACTGTGATTTTGCCACTGCCCTCCAGTTAGGTGACAGGGTGAGACCCCAACTCAAAAAAAAATAGAAAAGTTCAACTCTCCCCTCATGAGTGAGTCCCACAGTGGCCTGCTGTTTCTCCTTGTCCACTCAGGGTCTTGTCACAAGGACACCTGCATTCAACACATCAGCCCTGACCCCCTCGGCACCCTCCAGCCTCCTCTTCCTTTTGTATTACACTTGTCAATGGTGTCCAGTCCCCAGCCTGGCAGTCCTCCCTTTAATTCCCTCCTCCTCCTCCTCCATGGCCACAGGTCTCAAGCTCTGTGGACCCCATTTCCTCAGTGGTATCCAGTCCCCAGCATAACAAATGACTCCTCTCTCCTCTTCCATAGCCACATCTCGGGTTCTGTGGCTTCCACTTCCTCAGTCGGTGGGTCCAGTCCCCAGCCCGACAGACGTCTCTCTTGATTCCCTCCTCCTCCTCCTGCACAGCTACAGGTCTCAGGATCTGGGGCTTCCACGTCCTCAGTCAGTGGTGTCCAGTCCCCAGCCTGACAGGCGGGTCCCTTGATTCCTGCCCTCCCCCCTCCACCTCCACAGCCATGTTTCAGGTTCTGTGGCTTCTGTGTCCTTGTGCCTCTTGCATCTGTTTCTTTCCAGTCTTAAGCAGCCTAACTCTAGGCCCCTTTTCTCTGGATTTGGCAGCAGCCTCATAATTGGTCAAACCATCTACATAAATGGCAGCTACTGTTGTCATCATTTTTATAGAATAAAGCCCAGCCTCTTTCAGAGGACTTTCCATCCTCATGGGATTTCTGTATTCTGATCACATATTGTGTGTTCCAAGTCAATTCATACCATTAATCTACTGAACTTCTCACAGTGGTCCTGGTCTTCATGAAATACATCTGGTTTGTTTTTTAATCCCCCCCATTCCTGAAGGGCCTAGCATATTAATTAGCACCTAATAGATACTTTACAGGTATTTACTGGGTTCGAATTAACGAATTTGCCAATATCCCATGATTCTTGTTAATCCATATGGCATGGAAATGATTTTTTAAGGTGAAAACTAAGTTTATTTCATTAGGCCTTATTAGGAAAATTCTGATTTGCTTTTCTGTTATAAAACAGAATAGCTAGAACATCAGCATTTGAATATTTTCTACTCTCCACGTTTTCATTGTGGAAATTTCCTTTCATAATACTTTGCAACTATACTCACATTCATAAGCAGTCCACATCCTGGGAAACCATGTTTATTAACAGCATCTTAGGAGCAAAAGTTAAACCAGAGAGAGATGGGTAATGGAATTTTTTACTTAGGTACAAAAGAGAAATAGTACAAGAAAGAAAACTAGGCTGAACTGATTCTATCATGATTATATAAAGAAAACAAGTGATGGTTTTCTCTTATTTTGGTATTTCATTACCATCCATGATATAATGCTCATTTTAAACTTGAATTTAGTGCATATAAATATTAGAATGAGTGTTTGAGTAAGACAACAGAGTTCTCTAGGGTAATCAGAATGTGCTATCAGTTACCCAATATGTGTATTAAGATCTGTGTATCCTCCTACAGAACATTTAAAAAATATACTCATTTTCTTTCTCTGTCTCTTTCTATCTCTTTCTCTCTGTCTCTCTCTCCTGGTCCCCCCCCCAACCCCCATGTACATGTGAGCACGTATCCGTCTCACTATCAGAGTGGCAGGGTGGCTTCTTTCAGATTTATTGCTAGATTCATGTTCACGAGACTAAGCCTTCTGTTTTCAGCAGTTCATCCATTCTTCTGCTTGGTCTTCAATTGAAGGCATGGTTCCTTGTGAAATCTTAATTGTTCCTATAACACCTCTGTATTTGTGCTCTCACGTTAAGAAGATAGTAGCTTTAGGTGAAGAATAAGCGGTAAAAACAGATTTCTGGTGTTGATGGTGTTTCGATTTATATATTTTTTGCTTCAGCTCTAATAAAGTTTAAGGAATGAAGGTGGATAAAACATGATCAGTTATTTGGCAGAATAAATACTGATCCGTGTACACACAATGATGATTACTGGAAACAGCTTCATGGCCATGTGAACTTCAGAGTCAAATCCCCACCCATCTATTTAAAATTTGTGTAGCCTCCAACAGTTATCAAACGCTGAACCTCATCTGTAAAATGGAGACAATGATGGCATCATTCAGTAGTATTAAGCAGAAATAGCCATCAGGATGACCAGTATTCTTACTGAGTACCTGTAGAGCATGTGCTATTAATCTCATTTTACCAAGGAGGAACAAAGGCTTACAGGGCATAAGTAAGCTCATACAGTTAGAAGTGGTGGTAATGGGCTTTCACTACCACATAAGGGGCCTGCCACGTATTTTCCAGTGTCAGCTATTACAGGTCGAGCATCCCTAGTCTAAAAATTCAAAATCTGAAATGCTCCAAAATCCGTAACTTTTTTGAGTGCTGACGTGATGCGATAAGTGGAGAATTCAATCCCTGACCTCATGTGAGAGGGACAGTCAAAATTTTGTTTTATTCACAAAATTACTAATAATATTGTATAAAATTACCTTCAGGCTACATGTATAAGTTATATATAAAACATAAATTCATTTCATGTTTAGACTTGTTCCACCCCCCATGATATCTATGTATATGTAAATATTCCAAATCTTAAAAAATCCAGAGACCAAAATACTTGTGGTCTCAAGATTTCACATAAGGGATACTCAACCTGTACTACATCGTTGGACAGAATTCTCCCAAGGTTAACTTCCACTGAATTTGTTCTAATTTCTCATTGTATTTACACCAAAAACTTCCTGATTGAAAACCATTTTCTGTTGTATAGAAAGTTGTGGGTAGAAATGAGTCTAGTTAGTGCCTACTTTTTGAATTTTTTTATGGTAAACATCTGAATCTCCTTGTCTAATTTTAATAGGTACAAGTCAGTAACTTCATACATAAATTGTCCTTGAATGACTTTTAGGGTTTTTTTAGCTGAAAGACTCAGAATTCTGTGTCTAAAAGTAGATTCAGTGATATCTATTGAATTATGTGTTAATGTCCTTTCCTTCACCTTGGATAAAAGTAAAGAAGTACATAATTTATTTTTAGTTAAAAAAAAAAGGCATGAGAAGGTAGGAAGGGAGGGTGAGTACTCTGACTCACTTGTCCCAGAGACCCTCACGGACTCTGTGAACTGTGTCTTTCTAGGGGAGGTGGTTCTTCTGGTTAACATGCCTGCAGACAGTCCCACAGATGGAGGGCAGCACCTACCTGATGGGAGGACAGCCACACCCACCAACACCTTCACCCAGCAGGACATCAACGAAGGCATCGTGTGGTACCGGCATTCGGGAGCTCCGGCCCAGAGTGACTCCTTCCGCTTCCAGGTGCCCTCTGTTTCCTCACTCTTCTGATGAAATCATCTCCTCTTATTTATAAATGACTTGAGTCATCGTGGGCAACTGCCTGGAAATCATGTTTGGTGGAGTTCTCTAACAAACATAATTCATAGTGCTGGGCAATTTTTTAAATCTCTCAGTTCAGATGTATGGATGTCTTCATAAGCAGAGCTGTCCACAACAAAGAGATAAAATTAGATAATGGCTAAAGTATTCAGAAAAAAAGTTCTTCAAAATGTAAAAATACTATATGGAGAAAAAAATCTTGATTTTCTTTTTCATGTTCTTAGAACACTTACCACCTTATGGTGGGATCATGGGCTTATAGCCAAACTCAGTGAGTTCAGATGCCAGTTGTGCCACTTACTAGCTGTACAATTTGGGCAAATTACTTGACCAATACTCTTGTGCTTCATTTTTTGTTGTTGTTTGTTTGCCTGTCAGATAGAATGGTCATAAGATTTAATGAGTTAATACACACATAGCGTGTATTAAACACTATGTAAGGGTTTATTACCATTGTTAAAACTTGATAAAATAACAGACCATAAGGGGACACCTAGTACATTATAGAACAAGAAATTATACTGTGCTCATTCTCTGGCCATTATACATCAAAAACTAATAATAAAAAAAATGCAAACCATTTGAAATATTTAAAATGATCCCCTGAATAATTTCTAGGAAATTTCTTAAATCAAACTAGCGAACAACTAAGGAATTTTGACAAGGAGGAACCAACCTATTAAAACTTAAATTATGTGGATCACATTGTACTCAAGAGAAAATTGATGATTTTAAGCTCTTAGTATTGAGTAGGAAAACACAAAAATAAATGGACAAAATACTTAAGAAGCTGGAGAATGACAAAGGAATCCCAAGGAAGGCAGAGGGAAAGAACAATATAAATGAACAGAGGAATCCGGTCATTAGAAATGCTGGTAATGACAGAGGAGGACAAAGCCTGATTCTTGAAAAGATCAGGAGAATTAGACAAACCTCTGGTGAACACAATTGGGAAATAAATACTTAAATAGCTGGGCATGGTTGCTTATGACTGTAATCTCAGCACTTTCGGAGAGGGAGTTGAGAGGATTGCCTTAGTCCAGAAGTTCAAGACCAGCCTGGGCAACTTGGAAAGACCTCATCTCTACAATAAATCCAAAAAATTAACCAAGTGTGGTAAATGCACCTGTAGTCCCAGCTGTGGCAGAAGGATCACCTGAGACCAGTAGGTTGAGACTGTGGTGGATGTGAGCATGCCACTGCACTCAAGCCTGGGCCACAGAGTGAGACTCCAACTCAAAAACAGAACCAAGCAAAAACACAGAAATACAAAGAAATAGGTAATTATGAACTAGAGAGCATTTAAGCACAGATACAGAAAATAATTTGTTGAAGTGTCAGAGAAAATATCTATGTTTATAGGGATCATCCAAACCAGTGTTAGGGCCCCCTTGAGGTCTGAGACTATTCTTTTGTCCAGGAACCAGCTGGGGATACACTAACCCAGCTCTTCTTGTTGAAGTGATCATCCATTCTGCTCCTGATGCCTCGTGTGTACCTCTTCATTCCCTAACTAATTTATTTTGTATAAAAGATGTACTTTTCCAGAGAGCAGGTTGAGATAAATTTGGAAACCATTAAAATGAGATTATACTGAGCACACTGAACATCCAATAGGTGAGCAAACACTGGGTGTCTTTGTCCAAGTTAGCTTTTCATTTTTAACATCTGGCGAATGCAGTGGTCATCAAAGAATGAGTCAGAATGGAAGCAAAGACCTCAATCAAAGAAGTCATCTCAGCAAGTGGGTCTGCTCTTGCCTTCATAGGGGTCAAAATGAAAAAATGTTATCAATATGGAACATTTCCCTGAAAGGAGATTCTAAACCCCTGCTCGAAATTATATTTGATTGCTTTTGCAAGTGAGTTACTAAGTGGGTAAAATAAAGTAAATAAAATAAATAAGTAATAAAATAGTAAAAATTACTAATTTAAAAAAATTAAAACTCTCTAGAGTTTAAGGCATCTATCTCAACAACGTTGCTACTTAGAAAGCAGCTCTTTTTTTTTTTTTTTTTTTGAGTTGGAGTCTCACTCTGTCACCCAGACTGGAGTGCAGTGGCCGCTCCCAGCCACCACAGCCTCAACCTGCTGGGCTCCAGCGATCCTTCCACCTCAGCCTTCCAAGTAGCCGGAATTACAGGCATGTGCTACCACACCCAGCTGATTCTTGATTTATTGTAGAGATGAGGTCTTGCCAAGTTGCCCAGGCGGGTCTCGAACCCGGGGGCTCAGGCAATCCACTCACCTCATCCTCCCAAAGCGTGGGATTACAGGCTGAGCCACCGAGCCTGGCTGAAAGCAGCTCTTTTTAGAGAGCTTTCACACATGTTGCTCAAAATGTGTTTAGCACTCCTATTTGAAATTACCTTAAAAGGGTGTGCAGTAATCTTTAGAATATCCTCAGTAGTGACCATATCTTATCCTTTGGAAGTGAATTTTAAAATATAGCCAAATATGCCGGGCGCAGTGCCTCACACCTGCAATTCCAGCACTTTGGGAGGCAGAGGCGAGAGGATTGCCTAAGCCCAGGGGTTTGAGACCAGCCTGGGTAACTTGGCGAGACCTTGTCTCTACAATAAATGAAAAAAAAAATTAGTTGGGCGTGGTGGTGCACACCTGTGATTCCAGCTACTTGGAAGGCTGAGGCAGAAGGATCACCTGAACCCAGCAGGTCCAGGCTATGGTGACCCTGAATGTGCTACTGCACTCCAAGCCTGGATAATAGAGTGAGAATTACTCAAAAAAGTCCTTCAGAATCAGGTCTGGTAAGAAAAGGAATGGTAATTATTTTTAGTTAAAGTGGGGAGTAATCACGAAGTAATGAGCTCAGCTTCCTTATATAATTTGTGGATTTTGTCTGAAGACATTCCAGAAAATTCATTTTGAACACTGACAACATCTTTACTGCAAGTACAAAACCGCTTTCTGGGATTATGTTCTCCTGATATAAAATTTTTGGTGTGTTTGTTCTTAAAGTCTTATTGTTTTATAGGCTTGCCTCATATTTTGATTTGAAATGACACAGACACTGTAGCTATGTGCTAAAATAAATAGCTAGCAACTTTTCCCATTCATCACTTCAGTGTCCCTAAAGGATTTTAAGCTTTAAAAAAAAGATGCTGTTCTAATGATTCTTTACTTCCTTTTTTTCTTTAAAGTAGAAAATGCAATATAATGAGTTGCATGGATTTAATGCCATTTTAATGTTGATGTGCTGTCATGAGCCATCAATGCGTCCCATCTGTTACTTTGCAAAAATTAGGATTTATGTAATGGAATGGGGATAAAAAATAGATCATGGCACAATGAGAAGAGGACATGCACATCTACCGTCATTTTTGGTGTGGGAAAGATATAACCTGGTTTGGGTATATTCTATCACATTAACACAGTCCTAGGGGATGTGGTTTGGAAAAGACCACCATGTTTCACATCAGTGTCTTTACTAGAAAACCAAACTGCTTCTCCTACTCAGTAATATGACATTTCATTACTTATTCAGTGTTCTGTTCTTTCTCTTCAAGAGAAAGAGATATTTCCTCCTTTCCTAATTTCCTGAAGCTATCAAAATGAGTCATCTTGGTCAGTGGAAAGATTGTGAACCCATCTGACCTGGTTAAATACTGCCACTTACTGACTTTGCGACCTGAGCACATGGCTTAAATTTTTTAACCTTCAGTTTCCTCATCTGTAAAAAAGGGGCTAATAATATCTACTTTGTGGGTATTAAGTAAGATAACCTTTGAAAAGTAGCTAGCACAGTGCTGAGCCCATGATAAATTCTCAATGCATCATACCTATTGTTATTAAGATATTTATAGCAATGCTATGTCTCCTTGAAAACATGTATTCTGAGACTTGATCTCAGGCATCTGGTATGATCAAGATAAAGACAGGGAAGATCATTTTTCTGTTAGGATTAACTTTAAAAATAATAGAGGTTGGTCGTGATGGCTCATGCCTATAATCCCAACACTTTGGGAGGCCAAGGTGGAAGAGTTGCTTGAGTCCAAGATTTCAAAACCAACCTAGGAAACATAGCAAAACTTTGTCACTACAAAACAAAATTAGCTGGGCGTGGTGGCATGCACCTCTAGTTCCAGCTGCTTGGAAGGCTGAGGTGGGAGGATTGCCTGAGTCCAGTAGATTGAGGCTGTGGTGAGCTGTGATCATGCCACTCTTCTCCAGCCTGGGCAACAGAGTGAGACCCCAACCCAGATTTTTAAAAAAGACATAGAAAAGAGGCTGCTACCCCTCACTTTTTCTCAGAATTTATGGAATCCTGCCCCCATCATATGGCATTAATACAGCTACCATGCCACACAGGGCTTAGCAAATGATGGAGAGAAGTGGAGTTTAGGGGAGCAGCTTAGTAGCTCTAATGGGAGGGAGAAACAGGAAAAGCATCATTTTCCAGCATTTTTGAAGCAGGAAAAAGATGACTTTGTGACCACTACCCTAATTATAAATGTTATTGATCTTGCCCTGCAATGATGAGGCTGATTTGTTGTTTGCCTGTCATTTACCTTTGCTGGGTAAAAATGAAAGAAGTGGAATAAAAGTCACGTTACATACTTTTCAAGATGTTATATAGCCATCAAAATTTCTTTCTAGAATGTTAATAATACAGCAAAATTGTATAGTATTATGTTAGGTAAAAAAAAAAACTTAGAATATACAATTATGTATAAAGTATGATATATCTGCATAGAGAAAAGACAAAATTTAAATGCATCAATATATTAACAATCACTATTTTCAGGTCATGAAATTCTAGATAACTTTTTAATTTCTTTTTTTAACTTTTATTTTTTTATTTTAAAGATGTGGGGTACAATTCAGGGTTAGGCATACAAATGTTAATTATGCAGGTACTCTGGTTGATGAGGTGTGCCCCTCTTCTCCAGGCAGATTCCCACTATGGCCAATCCCGTCTCTCCACCCCCCCCATGCAGTTTCCCGCTACTGCCAATCCTTTTCTTATAGTATTACGATAGTTGTTCAAGGTCCGCTTATGAATGAGAACATTTGATACTCAGTTCTTCGTTTCTGTGAAAGATCGCTCAGTATTATAGACTCTAAGTATATCCAGGTTGCTGTGACATTCATGATTTTGTTCTTCCTTATGGCTGTGTAATATTCCATCTGTATATGTACCACAATTTTTTTATCCAGTCGTCTTTTGATGGTCAGCATGTTTGGTTCTATGTTCTTGCGACTGTGAACAATGCTGCAATAAACATATGTGTGCAGGTATCTTTTTTATGGAGTGATTTGAGTTCTTCCGGGTATAACTTTCTTTTCAGGTGTCCCGGGCCACTGACTCCCAGATGCACCTGGAAAGCCGTGTGTTCAACATTGCCATCTTGCCCCAAGCGCCTGAAGCACCTGCGCTCTCACTGGAAGCCTCGTTCCATATGACTGTGAGTTGGGCAGGAGGCTCGAGGTTTCCACTTGGAGGATGCACACATGGGGTTTGATAGAGTGTTGTGGTTTGTATACAGTAGATGCCTGGGCCCAGGATGCAGCCTCAGGGGCCAACATAACAGCCCTGTGAATACATTTCTCACTGACTTGAGAAAGAAACTTAAGATTCCCAGAGTGAAGAAAGTTTGAGAGAGTCCATCCTGGCCTCCCACCCATTGCTAATGTCCCTTCTCCAGCATCCCACATGGTCTAGGGCTTCTCCTTGAGTACTTGGGAGAAATTTCAGGCTCGGTTCATGTAGTCAATACCACTTGGGTATAACTGTTCAGCCAGTGACAGCACTGCCTAGCTGGAGAAGCTGTCATCCCATCTTTCAGAAACCCTACTAGAAACTTCTGCTGTGAAAGCTTCCTAGAGAAGGTGCTGTCCATGCTACATCAGGAAAGATGAGGAGCAAGTATCCAAGTTAACACTTGGGGACAGGGTGAAAGGGATGGAGAGGTGATGGCACAGGGCACTGTCACAGGTAAATGGCCTACAGGTGAACAGAAACAGGACTGCTGGAAATTGCAAGCAATCCAATAAGACTGGAGAAGTCAGAAAGACAGAGAAGAGGGGCAGTGAGGGTATGGAAGTCGTTAGGCTTGTGTGCTGGCAGGGGGGACCTGAGGCCAGGTGGCAACTAGTTTAGGACAAGAGGCTTAGTTCAGACATTTAGCATTTCTGTTGTCACCCTCTGTCTTGAGGGGAGGGGCTTAATGCCAGAACCCCTCCTCAGACCCTCAAGCATGCAGACCTTGTGAATTAATAATCATTGTGGGTAATTACACTCCAAAGAAGGGGATCAGCCTTGAGCCACAGCAGAGAGAGCAGCTAGAGTGTTAGAAATTATGGGTCTGTGGCATGACAGAGACACAAAGGGAAGAATAGAAAGTTTTTAATGAATAGCTAGTATCGGCATTTCCACCGTAAACCGTAATTTAGAGAAGTCATAATTCAGCAGCACTATAAAGTCTATAATTCATCATTCTGACTGGAGGAACTTGGATCGGAATTTTCTCTAAACTGTAAAGAAAAATGTGCACACACATTTCTTGCCAAATGCTAATGCAGTATTATTTTGAGACTAGAGAAAAAAAAATGGGCCAGGAGCCGTGAAGATGGTGCCGCCCCTGCTCTGTCATGAAGGCCCTCTAAAGAGACCTTCCAGGTCTCTTAAACTTTGGAGCTCAGGCTGCATGTTTGCAAATTAGGTCTATCTGGTTGGAACTTAGGATACTGCAAAGGTTAGTTTACTGTAAAACGTAATTTGCCTACTCTTATATTGCTTAAAATATATATTCATATTTCTTTTGACATTAACTAGGGCCATTACTTTAGGACTTAACTGCAACCAAAACACATTCTCAATTCAGTGATTTAGACCCACTAAGTACACAAGTTTTGCACATAGGGTAAATACGTCATGAATACTTATGGTAAATACATGTGTGCTTGATTCAGGTATGTACTTAAAGGTCGGAGTCGACCTCTCCATTCATTGTCCCCCATTCATAAACACTTGTGAGCCCCTAACTGATGCCAAGTACTGTGGAAAATATTGGAGACTCAGTGACCATAAAACAGCCTCAATTCTCAAGAAACTTGAGTCTAAAGAGGAGACAAAGAAATAAGCAAGGAGAAAATGGTGATGAATGCCATGGCAGCCATGATATGGGAGCATGTGGGTGGACATCTGACCCAGGAGGGTGTGAGAGAGGGTCCTGGAGGGTGTCTTCTGGGACTGAACTGATTCAGGTGAGTATAAGTTTTCTCAAGACCAGGGCTGTCAGACGTAGGCCTGTGTTTAGAATCACCCATGGGCCCATTAAAACACAGACTGCTGGAACCCACCCCAGAGACCTCCAACTCAGTAGATCTGGTATAGGGTCAGGAATTTGCATTTCTAACAAGTTCCCAGGTGTTACTGTTTGCTGCAGTTCAGATGACCACACTTGAGAAACCACTGATCTAGACTTAAAAACGGGAAAGTCATCCCAGGCAAGAGGAAAAATAGGTGAAAAAACATGGAGACACAGGAGAACGTGACATGTTTAAGGAATTACAGATAGTTTTGCTGGAGCATAAATCCCTAAGTGAAACAACAACAAGAAAGGAGAGTCAAATCACGGAGGACCTTCAAGATAAGGTGTTAGGGCTAGTACAGTGTCGAGGGATTCAGAGCAGGGAAGTGCCCTGATCCGATTTTGATGATCAGTTTAGGAAGATTGTTCTGTCTGCAGGACAGAAAACATCCTGGATGGGGCCCAGACAAAAAACAGACTAGTGTAGTCATCTAGAACAAGAAGGTTAGTAGCACATACCCCTAAGAGTTCAAGAGAGCTTACAGAGATATTTGCACACGCATGTGCATTGTGGCATTATTCAAGAGAGCCAAGATGTAGGAGCATTCCAAATATCCATTGACAGAGAAATGAATACAGAAAATGTGATATTTTGTGATCTATTCAATTGTGAGCCACTGGGGAAGTCCAGAGAGAGACTATGGCTCTGAGCAGAGTGGTGGTGAGGAAGGAGGGTGTGGAGAAGCAGTTGGATTCTGGATCTATTCAGAGGTCATATTGTTATTATGAAAAACATTATTCTGTAATCTTATTTTATTGACAGATATATTATTTTTAAAGTGTCTTTTGTAATGATTTGTATAAACTTTAATCTCCATTTCTTACCATGTTTAATTGATAAATATTGAACATTCCAAATAGGTAATATTACAATTGACTGTACTTTGATGTATCTCAACCTCAATATTGCTTTCTTCATGGAATCAAGTCCTTACTTTTTCTCCCTACTATCTATTTCTATTAGCAGAGGAATGACAGCAATACATTCCAAAATAGAATGTTGTCTTGCCTGGAACATATTTCCCTTTTTGATTGTTCCATGTCCACAATAATTCCCTCTTCTTATCACTTTATTGTTTTAGGGACATCTAGATTAAAATAAAAAAAATCCCATGATGCTCTGAGAATGTTCAGTTATTGTGCTGGTTTTGAGATTAAAAGGTGGCAGACAGCACTGAACAATGGATGGAGCATGTACTTCTTTGTGTATCTGTGCCCACATGTGTACATGTTCGTTGCTGTGTGCACACATGTGTGGGCTGTTAACACCTTAGATAGGCATATATTTTTTATTTGTTGTCCTCATTTGTTTTATTTTAGGGTGAGAGACCAGCTGCTGCTAGCAGTTCTACTTGTGCATAACATTCCAGATCTGAGTAAGGGCCTGAAATATGACTCTCTACTCTAGGGCAATTGTTATAACCTGCCAGTGCTGCCTCTCCCCAGGTCGAGTATGCCTTGGGGACAATTACAAGGCAACTGCAACCTTCAATCTTTCCATGGCTAAAAGAAAGAGCACCACGCCCTCCTCCACAAGCATTACTAAGCCCTACTTAATTCTTTACTAAGTAGAGAAATTCCTTCTGAAAAAAGCAAAGCTTCAGAGAGCAGGAGTATGAGAAACTCTAACTCACCTGAGTAGTCAGTTAGGAAGAGCCTGCCATGAGCTGGATATTTTTGTTCTGTTTTATAACTGCATGTCTGACCCAGGCAAAGGGTCCATGCTTAGTCTAATCTTGCATCTTCTCCTCTCCACATTGTGTTTTTGCTGCTGTACCCTACCCACTGCCATGATAGCCATCGAGGCTAAACCACTTCTTTTGTACTTTTTGAGTGTTGCCACAGTTAGCAGGTTATGGATGTGCACAGGTAAATGGGTAGTAAGAGCTATGTACACTTGGGCTTGCTGATTAATATTGCTTGACTCTTCATTGGTTCTGAAAGCTGGAAAAAAAAAGCAATGTCTAGTTGTTTTGAATAGTAGAATGGAGACAAAGGGAAATATTGGCTATTTATGTGTTTTAATAAGCAAATAGCTCTTAAGCCCCTGGATACAAATAATGAGCCTCTTTCTGTGATCCTGGTAGGTTCATCTTTAGCCATTTGAAATCAGAAAGCATCAGAGTTTCCACTAGCAAAGCTGGGGGACTGAGGGTAGAGCTCTGAAGAACCTCTTGGGACCAGGACTTAGATATCTCAACTGGGTTCCTAGAACTTCTTGCCTGATTCAGCTTGGCACATTCAGTTAGAGGAGCAGAGATGTGGTGAGCCAGCTGAGTAGTGGGATGTAGACTGGTCAGCTGGGATGCTCATTCTAACCGTGTTCTACCTAGGGAATGAGAAATCACATTGGGAAATCAACTGGCATAGCCTTTAGGGGCAGAGAAGAGAAGAGTCAGGCTGCAAGAAAATCTGAAAAGCACTCTACAACCCTGGGAGGCTCCTGAGGCTAGAACGAATCTACAAGGCCAGAGTCCAGATTCCTCTTCTGAATCTTGGAGAAATTTTCACTGTGTGACTAATTTGGAAGTCCAAAGCGAATTTGTTTTTATTTCTTTTTTGTTTATTTTTTTTGAGTTGGGGTCTCATTCTGTCACCCAGGCTGGAGAATAGTGGCACAATCACAGCATAATCAAGGCCCTACAGGCAGCCTCGACCTCCTGGGCTCAGGCAATCCTTCCGCCTGAGTCTCCAGAGTAACTAGGACTGCCATCATACCCAGCTATTTTTATTTTTTATAGAGAAGAGGTCTTGCTGTGTTGTCCCACCTCGGCCTCCCAAAGTGCTGGGATTACAGGTGTGAGCCACTGCTCCTGGCCTTGTTTTCTTGATGTTTGTTTTTGCCTCTGGCTTTTGTGTTTATCATACCAATTTTTCTTCTCCCTTCTGGAATTTTGCTTAGGCTCGAGAAGATGGACTGACTGTTATTCAGCCTCATTCCCTCTTCCCTGTAAACTCCGAGAAGCCAAGTGGAACGATTATATACAATATCACTCTGCCTCTGCCTCCAAATCAAGGTATGATGTGCATCAAATGACCTTTTGAGTGATAGATGCTATTGTCTTCTGATTGTCAACCAGTCTTAAAAACGCTGGAATTTTGTCTGCTTGTAGACATAGTGAGACTTGAGAGTTTAAGGAATAACAGTTATTCATGCCCTGTGCTCTTGTCTTCTAGTTTAGAACTAATTGAGAGAGAGAGAGACAGACATTATGTCACACAAGAGGAGATACATGTGTCGGCTTTGGCTCCAATAGGACTGTCCTGGAAAATATGGTTTTGCTGTATCCAGTCCCTGCCCTGCTCCCCTCCCCACACTGACAGAACTAGGTCTATGGCATTGTCTGTAGGACAGAGCCTGCTTTGGGGGGCTATGACAGGTGAACAGACCAGATGAGAATATGTAAGGCCAGGGAGCAACAGTGGGAGCCACGGATTCAGCTCCTTTCACAGATGAGTGTGATTCCTTCTGCCATAGGAAAACATGGGAATGTGGGACTCCAGTCAGAGGTGAGTAGGCCCTGCCATCAGCCCCTGCCTCTGCAGCGCTAGGCTTTGGGCTTAACTAATACACCTGTATCCAGGAGAGGCGTGGCTATGCCTCACAGAAAGCAGATCCACTTCTATTAAGAAAATGCTGCCGCCACCTGAGACTGTTCCCCAAGACCAGCCACTGCCCGATGTAAGCCTCTCACATTGTCAATTCTCAAGGAGAAATAAAAGCCTGGAAATTAAATTTCATTGTCCTTTTGATAAAGTTCGATGAAATTAAAAATCTAGACGTCATCCTTCCCTTTTTTAATCTGCTAAGTTGTAGCTGAAGATGCTCCCTCCTTGGCTAGAATGGAGATGGAGCACTTTCAGACAGCATCGGGTTGTCCTCAGCAGAATGGCGATCTCTCATTCACCTTCTCAGCCCACAGAAGGTGAATTAGTCCAGCGCCAAGCTACACATGTGCCCTCCTTCTGAAGAGTGAATCGGACATGAAAAATGAACAGAACTTCAGTTCTATACCTGCAAAATTTAGAAATAGCAGGCAAATCTGCAGCCCCTAAAACATTTATCAAAGCAGAGTGATAATTGAAAAACTAGTTCTTGAAATAATCAAGATCCATGTTACTTTTGCCGAAGATCATTGCACAGACTCAGGAGCTTCTGAAGAGAGTAGACTGAGAAAAACCCCTTACATCCTCACCAGGAAACCAGTCTGTGCCGGTTTCTCAAGGACCTTGACCTTTGACTTGAATCCACTTGAGGGAATCTTGTGATTATGGTATGGTATCCGTGACTTCTGGAGAATCCCCTGGTCTGGGCAACATCAGGGGCAGCAGTTTGCATCTTACTGTGGTTCATACTTCATGAATCCTGGTCAAAACTCTGAGTTTCAGATTGGCCCTTTTCTTTCTTCTTTTTTTTTTTAAGAATAAAGTTAGCTTTATCCAGAGTCTTACTAATGACTGCAACCCAGGAGAATCTTCCAGGGGTTCTGTACACTGCTGTGAAGCAGTGCTCCAGCCACTGCTTAGATAGCAGGTGGTAGAGGTTCCATATGTGCTCAGAAGTCACATAAAATGTTCTCAAGAGTCTCGTTAGGGGAGATGTGCCCTTTTCTTGAGTAACCAGAGAATAGTGGACCAAGAGCAGCTTATGAGGAGCCATTGCTGAGGATGAAGACCCTGTCCAGGAGAAGGGCAGGCTCTGTGGCTCTGGTCATCGACTCAGCCAGGAGAAACACTGTGATGCTCATGCTGAGTCTCTTCTTCCCAGGTACCATCGAGCACAGGGACCAGCCGCACTCTCCTATCCGGCATTTCACACAGGAGGATGTCAACCAGGGCAAAGTCTTGTACCGCCCTCCCGCTGCGGCCCCTCACCTCCAGGAGCTCATGGCCTTTTCCTTCGCTGGTAAGGCACGTTGCAGTGACCTCAGCCCCAGCTGCTCTCTGGGTTTGCATAGCAGGCATGCCCCAGGTCTGTCTTCCTGCAGCCTCTGGACAGCTTGGTGACACGGCTTCTTAGCTATTCGAAATAACTTGAGACCTGTCAGTCAATATGTAGTTTGGGCTCAGGCCCATCTCTATTATGTCCTTTATTTGTGCGTGTGGACACACTTTCAGTAAATCTTTATGTTGTGCCTTCTATGTGTTGAGCATTGAAGGAGACCTTGGAGACACCATGGTGAGCCAAAAGAGGCTCAGACTCTTCTTGTGGTTCATTGGGGCCTAGGCATAGAGACAGAATGGGGCAAGTAATCCTGGGAATGAATATTGTGTTGCAGACTGAGATGAGAGTGTTAAAAAGTTGGAAGAATGTCTAGTGGTGGAATTCAATATGCCTATACTAACCTAGATTGAGGGCTCAGCACAGACTGCCCTAGAGAGATTCTGGCAGCAGAGTAGGGTAACAGTTAACCAGGTTTAGTGTATGTATCTGGATGGTCAGGAGGACATTCCTGAAGGAAGGGCTAGCCCCATTTCCAAAGGCCTTGGGGAAGGACAGAGTACATATCTGGATTGTCAGGAAAGATTCACATGCAGAGACCCTGAGGAGACAATGTGGCATGAATGTTTCTGGAATATGGAGGATCAGACACAAGCAGGGGTAAGCCTGGTGGAACAGAGACTGAATTTGACAGGCCCTAGGAAGCCTTAAGGATTGGGGTCTTTATTCCAAGAGGAATGCAGTGAGCTTTTAGGATGTAGGGATGGCTTTTCATTAGGAACCCTTTGACTGCAGTGACAGAAAGACTCGACGAGGAGTCCAGAGTGGAAAGACTGTTGGGTGAGGGGAGACCAGTGAGAAGGGTCATGCTATGCCTCGGGGAAGATTTCTTGCAGGAATGGAGAATGCAGGCTGCCTTTGGGATTAATGCCAGAATTTGATGGAAGACACATTTTTAAAGGGAAGAGAAGAGTGAGCAGAAGAATAGCGGGTTTCATTAAAGCCAGTGTGTGCCCTTGCACGAAACCAGGACAGCCTCAATCCTTGCTACCATATCTCTCCCCTTGATCCAATAATCAAAGCCGCTGATCAGAAAGCAGGAGTTTTGAGTCTCTACCCCTAAATGCTTTCCATGCCTTGAAATATTCTAAAATTTTAGAGTTTATGTCTTCATGATCTTTAAGGTGTAGGTACTACGTCACACCATGAATATAGGATATTATTCTTACATAGTAGCTTTATTCACACAGAACAGCTGGTGATTTCTTATGGTGAGTTGAACATGGGTTAAATAATTTTTTAGAGTTACTTTTTTGATTATGTTCAACATGTAAAGTGATATTTGCCATCATTTAATATAAGTTTAATGACCCAGAAAATTGGTTAACTCCTCAATTAGACTGAAAATCTCTTAAGGATGAGGATAGTCTTCCTCTTTAAGGTCTCTAGTGTTTAGTAGCCCATGAAAATGTTCATGATTCTCTAACTTCTATGTTACAAGACCTACTTTACAAGAAACACAGGATACCCTGGGATTAGAGGGAAAGAAGACGTGTCAGCCACGGCTGGAGTAATGTTCATACCCACTGTCCTCACTTGAGTTCCTACAGCCTCTTTAGAGAGCAGAGTTTTGTGCTGTCTAATCTATGGGATAAATGCCATGTGATAAATCTCTCACACAGTTACAGTGTGTAAATCAATGTCCTGGCATCGCTCAATTCTACAATGGAATTGACCCACCTGAGAGCCCTGTCAGTGATATACGACATCACCCACATTCACCGATTTGTAGGATTTTATGTACTGATAAAATGGGATCTGAATGAATGCATTATAAATCACTCTAACTGCTGTCATATAAAATTATTCTAAGATGTAGTTCTTTTTGCTACTTAAACTTAATGCTAGTACCATTAAACTCAACATAATATTAGCAGATGACCTGGTGATCTTTCCTTAAATTAGAATAATTTAGATGGAAACATTCTTCACGTTCCTAATCTCTACCCCATATTTTATATCTTCTCCATCTTTCTCTGATCCCAAAATGTTATATATAATGATTTTCTCTCTCACTCTTTCAGGTCTCCCAGAATCAGTGAAATTCCATTTCACAGGTAAAGACTAATCTCAATTTTATTAGAAAATAGAATTTTTTTCTTTCTTTATTAGTTCTTTCTTTTTGCTCTCTTCATCATTACTTTTAGTTATTTTCTAAGAACTACTTAAAAGTTATATGATTTTTCTTACAAAACAAGTTTCTTCTAAAATAATTGCATAGTTATATAGCAATAGCTTAACTTTGTATTCATAGAAAAAACAATCTGCCAAGGATGCTAAAAATTAATGTTTAAACCCCCATTTCAACTTGTCTTAATATTTATTAAAGAGGTAATAATGATTAAGATCCTAGACTCTGGATCCAGATGGCCTGGAGTTCAGCCTGCCCTGGGAAAGTTTCTTTATCTCTCTGTGTCTGAATACCTCATTCATAAACAGGGATAATAATAATGCATGGAAAACTGTCAGAAAAATGTTTGGTACAAAGTCATCACTATATTATACTCTGCTAATAAATAGTAGTTGTATACTGTCTTGAACAAAGCCATTCATTGAATGCCTTGCTGATAGGGGAAGCAGCTTATCCCCAGAGAGTGAGCTGAGAAACTCATGTGTAGAAGACCCCAAAATCCTAGTTCTGGTTCATAGTGCAACAGAAACTGAGTGCCTGTCAGCTAAAGCAGAGTCATACCTGGTATCTGTGCTGGGCCACCATAGGGATAACCTTTGTTCCTGTTTCATTCTAGAGTGAGAATGCTTAGTTCTAAATAGCATCCTTAAATAACTGTTTGGATGGGATTGACTTTTCCATTAGATTCAACCATCCAGGGTCCTGTTACATTTCACAGAGGGAAAGGTCTTGGCAGGAGAAAGTTGCCCCTCTCAAGCTCACAGCCCTTGCTTTCTTCTCTGAAGTCCCACTTGGATCAGCCATCAGTGTCAGTGTTATGTTGCTGTTGACATGAACCCAGTGGATTGGTCCATTCATGGGCTAATGAATTAATGGGTTGTCATGGGAAGGGAACTGACTTAGTAAAGCAGGGGAAAACAGACTCGAAATGACACATGGGCACACTCAGCCCCTTATCACGTGCAGACTTGTGCTGCCTTGGGACTCTTCAGGAGTGGATTAACCCATTCATGGACTAATGAATTAATGGGTTGTCATGGGAAGGGGACTGGTGGCTTTGTAAGCATGGAAAGAGAGACCCGAGATGGCACATTGTCATACTCAGCACCTCACCATGTGCTGCCCTGTGCACCTCAGGACTCTTTTTAGAGAGTCCCCAGCAGCAAGAAGGCTCTCATCATATGTATATTCTTGGCCTTGGACTTCTCAACCTTCATAACTGTAAAAAGTAAATTCATTTTCTTATAAATTACCCAGTTTTAGGTATTTTGTTATAACCAACAGAAAACAGACTAAGACACTCTCACTTTAAAATAAAATGAATGTAAATCATAAAAGTAAAGTAAAATTGAATTTTGCAATTATTTATTTCTTAACTTAGATTACAGTGACCTTAGAGAATCCTGAATCTCCTGAAATTTAAGGAAAAATGTGTATGTTTGTTGTCAAATCCCCAAAAGTTAAGAATCATCTGTACCTATCTTTGATCCAGAGAAAAGGAGATTGAATGTAAACAAAGAAGCCGTGGCAGTAATTTTGGCCCTTGACTGAATTATCAAAGTCATGAAACCTTCATTCTCACCTGAGTAATATCTTCTAACCTTCAGTAGGGCTGGTTCTGGACTTCTCTAGGATATGGAGTATACCCTATAATATTTAACCTTATCTTATAGCTCTGTATTATGGAGCAAATAAATCTAAAGCTTGAGTGAAATTATTGCTAGGAGTCCCTGAGTAATGCTTTAATGCTTAAGAAGAGGCCAGATTTGTGCTGACTTGTTATTAAGTCCAAAAGAAAGTGAGAAAAGAAACCAGTTTCTCGTAATCAACCCATGTGCAAGCTTATCACACATTCAAAATAGTTAACAGTACAGCTTTTTCAAAAGTCACTACAGATAAACACATGGATGAGCCAGTGATGCAGGTATCCCTCCAAACCTGGCTTTTGGGAAAAGAAGGGGTTGTTCAGTTATGGGAAAGTAGAATGAGAGCCAAGGGTCAGACAGTTCTACTGTCATTTCCCTCAGGAGATTGGTGTTCACTCAGGTGTCAGATAATCCAGGGAAATAAAATCTTCAGGTCACTGTTTTGTTTACAAAGCTGTCTTCTATTGATGGCATTATGCATAATAACCAGGAAAAAGTAGATCTGCTTACTTCTAAACTAATGCCATTAGAAATATTTGCATGAGTACTGTCTGTCATTTTTTAAAAAATGTTTTCTGGCTGGGCTCAGTGGCTCAGCCTGTAATCCCAGCACTTTGGGAGGCCGAGGCAAGTGGATTGCCTGAGCCCGCGGGTTCGAGACCCACCTGGGCAAGTTGGCGAGACTTCGTCCTACAATAAAAATCAAAAACTAGCTGGGCATGGTAGTGCGCACCTCTAGTTCCGGCTACTTGGAAGGCTGAGGCAGAAGGATTGCCCGAGCCCAGCAGGTCGAGGCTGCGGTGGCCATGAGCATGCCACTGCACACCAGCCTGGGCGACAGAGTGAGACTCCAACTCAAAAAATAAAATTAAATAAATAAAATTTTAAAATGTTTTCTAATGAGACATAGACATGTCATTTCTAAAGAACAGTTCACGAGAGAAAATATGTTTTCTGGAGCATTAAGGGAATAAGCTGAATGAAAAAATAATTCCATAAGTAAAAGGCTTACTAGCATCATCTAAGAGTGCAAATGTTGTTGTGCCTTCCTTTCCACTAACGTTTATCAAGATTGCCTCCTTGTGAAAGCAGCCTCATAGAATGATTTCATTGTATGGTCCCTTATCCTTTTTCTCGTCCATAGAAACAAGTTTGTCAGAATAGCTCCCAGTATCTTCCTTGCTTGCTTACTTTTCCCATTTGTAAACATCTCTTCAAAGTGTTAGGGTAATCTAAAGAAGCTTCTATTGACAATATTTGTGGGAACAGGCTAAAAATGACCAGACTATAAGCTGATGTGTGTTTGCGTGTGTGTGTTTGTGTGTGTGTGCGTGTGTGTGTGTGTGTGTGTGTGCCTTTCCCAGTTTCAGATGGAGAGCACACAAGCCCAGAGATGGTCCTCACGATTCACTTACTCCCCACTGATGGTCAGCTGCCCGTGTTCCAGGTCTCAGCTCCACAGCTTGTGGTCAGCCGAGGAGGCAGCACCTCTGTAGGTAAGAACCAGAACGCTGAGAGAATGTAGTTTTGGAATTGGTGCCATATTTCAGCAGCAGCCCCTCTTCATCCTCTCAGTATTGCCAGAAGCAACCCATGCTCTTCCGTGTGTCCTTCCTTCTGGCTATTTCCATGCAAATAAAAGCAGTACAGGGAAGAGGCAACAAGCCTTCAGAGGCCAATGCTCAGTGATGATGACAACACAGGATTTATTCTCCAGCCTCCAGGAGTTTGATGTGTTGCCATCACTAAAATGCATAGTAACAGAGAGGAGAACAAGGGGGGAGGTGGGGATGGGAATCAATGAGTCAATGACTGCTCTTGTTTCTATTCAGGAAACGAAGAGTATCAGGAGAAATTACAGGGTACAACAGCAGGTGTGAGGAGCTAGAGTGGGCCTACTTACTTTGTATGTAATTTTATTTAGTTATTAGTATACTAAATAATAATAACTATTATTAGTATATCTTTTACCAAGAAGTTTATTATTTTACCAAGAACATTTTACTAGTAAGTAGTAGGTATTGTGTTTTTTGCTAGGTATGCTCTACAGATCTTTATCCAGTTTCTACATGTGGGTTTTGGCCTAAAATTGATTATCATCAGAGTTAGAAACAAACCATGAGCACAAAGGCGTCCATCATTTTACCTGACACATTCTCACTTTCATGATTGCCGTCACAGCTGTCCTTAACAGTGACTTTTCTGTAGAGCCAGAAAAATACAAAGGGAAGAAGCAATGACAAACAAAAATGGCTTAAGGGAATATTTTCTGGAAGAAAGTCTGCCTCTGGTCAAGACTGACCTAGTGTGGGCTCCCTCTGTACATGCCCTCATTTGTATGGGAGATGAAAGGTATTCTGAATTCAGAACTACTTACTTGCAGTGGACTTTTAAAAGAAACTACTTGCAGTTTGGGAATTTGCTATGCTCTCAGTCATCACTCTTTTGTGTTTAACTGGAATTGGGCAGCTCTTCCTGGCAACCGTCAGATGGCCCACTACACGCTCCCAGCCTGGCCCACAGCGTGTCATGGACACAGAGTGCGTGGTTTTTAACAAACCCATTCTCTCCCCACGCCCTATTCTTCTTACTGCAGGACTCCGGCTGGTAGTGAGGGATGCCGAGACAATAGCCGAGGACCTCTCCTTTGAGCTCCAGAAGCCTCCACAGCATGGGGTGCTCCGTAAGCACCTGGCTGATTCCTCAAGGCCCATGGCCACAGGTAGCCACTCACCCTGTCCCTCACCTGTTTGGAGGATTTTCTGCTCTACAGTCAGTTTCATGTGTTCTAGAGACGTGTTTGTGGGAAGAATATGAAGAGATTCTTCCTTTCGCATGTAGGTCATTGGCCTTAGTATTTGAGACTTCTTCGTCTTCCCACCCCCACCTCCTGCCCCCACCTGCCCCAGGCGCCACCACCTTGAAAATTATGAAGCAGGTTCCTCAGACTAGGGTGAAATCAGTTGACTTCTGAAACTTGGAACAAATGCATTTAAAACAACAACATATGAGAAATCAGCTGCTACTTTCCTAGAGTTGTTTATGGAGATGAATTTGTCTTAACTTGGTATGTGAATTTTCACAATATTTTTAGCACTGTGACTCTGATAGTGTTAACTACATGTGTTTTCATCCACTAAAAAAGAAAAAGATAACACATTTTGGCTAGGTACAGTGGCTCACACCTGTAATCCCAGCACTTTGGGAGGCCAAGATGGAAGGATTGCCTGAGCCCAGGCATTTGAGACCAGCCTAGGAAAAATAGTGAAACATCATCTCTATGAAAATTATTATAAAAATTAGCCAAGTGTGGTGGTATGCACCTGTAGTCCCAGCACTTTGGGAAACTGATGCCAAAGGATTACTTGAAGTCAGGAGTTTAAGACTAACCTGGGAAAAATAGCAAGATTCCAGCTTTGCAAAAATTAAAAAATAGCCAGTCATGGTGGCGCATGCCTGTAATTCAGTTACTCAGAAGACCGAGGCAGAAGGATCTCCTGAGCCCAGGAGGTCAAGTCTGCAGCAAACTGTGATGGTGCCACTGCACTCCAGCTTAGGTAACAGAGTGAGACCCTGCCACAAAATCAAAAAAATAAAGAGAATGCATTTTGAAAGTATCACCTATGCAATGTAACAATGTAGTGACGTGTACAGCTTTCAAAAATAGTATTTATCATGCTTTCTCTGATGATAAAAAAACAATTCATGTTGATTGTTTAGAAGGTACAGAAAAGCACAAATAACTGAATTTATTTTTTAACAGTCAGCCCTTCCTTATATATCAAAGTAAATGTTATCCTTTTCAAACTAGTCACCTCAGGTTGCTATATCTTCTTCCAACAATCTGTACTTTCTCAAAACCTTGATATGGTTCCTTTTGGAGATGTATTCTTCTGAATATCATTAGTAGGAAAATCTTTCCCCTTAGAAGAAGATAGTATTGTCAAGAATGGCCAATAGCTATTTGGGAAAGTCACAAAGGCAGATTTTAAAAATTTTACTGAATAAAATAAATGTCACTAGAATAGATTTGAAATATTCCAGGGGAACTACATTAGGAACATAACAGTTATTTCCCAGTTTTGTTAGCATTGCATTTAACCTATGTTTCTGCAATTAATATATAAGATCTAAAGATGTTTGTAGAAAGTTAGTTATATTACCTTTTTATAGGTATAATACCACTAGCATTAATAAAACAGTGTTGAAAGAAAAGACTGAGAAGATGAATACAGAGAATGAGTAAATTTTTAAATCTCATTTTAGATCACTAATTATTAGAACCAATAGTGTATCAGAAGAGAGAGCTGAATATAACATCTAAGACGGGCAATTTCACAACTGTGTACTGTGGAATCATTAGAACTCATGACACTAAGAGGTGTTTCTTATAAGAAGGATTCTGTGATAAGTTTGAGAAGCTTTAATATTTGTAAGTTAAAGATCATAAAATTCTAACGGATCTTGCAGTTTTAAAAAGTTATATTTAAAATTTTATTTGTCCCTGTTTTTCCCAAACATGTGTGAGCCTGAAACTTTTTTCACACAACACCTATCAAATCTATCACGAGTTAATATTCTAGACCATACAGTTTGGATTTCTAACTTGAAGCTTATTTTTTTCCATTTTTAATCTAAGAAAGCCCTATACCCCAATTAAAACAAAGAACAAAGGCCTCTTACAGGTTCTTTAAGCATAATTTATTTTCCTAAGCTTTTTAAAAAAATTTCAGTATCAAGATTAGATTCCAGAAGGGCGTTCATAAAGAATAGAAACTTGTTTGTTTTTCTAGAACTAGGAGTGATGAGTAGATCTTATAGAAGCAGATTTTTAACTTTAAATGATTAAGAACTTAAAAAACAAACAAACAGAACTATCTACAGCGGGATTGGCTACCTTGTAACACAGTAAGCCTCCCGCCTTGGAAAGTGCTGAAGGGTAAGCTAACCACCTTTTTCCAAGGTTGGTATAAAGGGAATCCCGCATTGAGTAGGTGGGTGGATTCGTCTATGACTCTCAGGGTTTATGATCCTATACGAACCTTGAAGTCCCGAGAACACAGGTGCTGTATGAATGAAAAGTATAATTCCCAGTAACAGTTGGCTTTGCAATTTGTTTTATTCTTGGAAGGTGACACCTTCACCTATGAGGATATTGAGAAAAACACTCTGCAGTATATACACGATGGTTCCCCGGCCCAGGAAGATGGCATGGAGATCTTGGTCACAGATGGCATCACAGTGACAACCTTAAAAGTGAGAGTGGAGGTGTCACCATCAGAGGGCCTCGGGCCTCGGCTGGCTGCAGGTTCCTCTCTGAGCCTCACTGTGGCTAGTAGAAGCACAGCCACCATCACCAGGTCACACCTCGCCTATGTGGTAAGGTCTCACATTTGCTTTTCTTCCTCTGCACCTTCTGACTGGGATGCCAAAAAGCAGTGCCATGGTTGTGTGTTTGGGCAGCAGGTAGCATGGTCATGGAAAGAGCCTTTTTTTTTTTTTGACTTTCCTAGTTCTGCTCTTAGGAGTATGATGCTCTTTATCCTGGCTTCTCCTAGTGTCTTATTAACAGACAAGTGAATGAGCAAAACTTTGAGAAAACACAAGCATGTGCAGGGATGGACTATTGTCAGGAGGAAACAGTGCCAGTATCAAAAAAAGCCCAAGTCCATTCATCATGTTTCTAATTGGAATTTTAGGAAAAGAGCACTCTAGAACTCACCTGGTCCATGACTAACAGGAGGTGACAGTGTCTCCACCAGCGTTAGTCTCAGGTTCATTCTGGGTAGAGCCTTGCTACCCCTTGGCAGTGCCTCTTAGCCACAGCACTGGTCACCCTTGCTCACATACCCAAGAGAACAGTGTAGTTAGGGTGCCGGGGAGAATCAAGGACTCTGGGATTTTTCCCGGTCTGGCCCTAACCTAATAAGTGATCCCAGGTAATTAAACTCATTTTCTTTCTTTGATTATACCTCTGAAGTGAAAGATAATGAGAATAATTATTGTTATATATATTGTAAACAGATATGTACTCTCTATGTAAACATAATAATGAGTAGTTTTTACAACCTTGAAAGGAAGACTGATTATCTAAATGCTAATTAGTCTTAGTATTGAATTTTTCCTTTACTAATCTTAAAATTCTGACCAACACCCTGGCCTTTATTTTTTTTTTCAACACTGTGTACTTTTAAACAACCCTTTTTTGGGCTGAAGAATCTCACTGTAAGATCTGGTCCTGAGCAGTGGCATATGAGATAAAATACTGGCCTGGGAACAATTGCTTTTGTCTAGATTTCCCCTCAAATGGTCTTTTCCTAAATTGCGGGAAACTGCATTCCATCCTTATTCTTCTCTTGAGTCCACTGTAGTTTCAGAACAGCTTTGTTTTTTTTTTAATTGACAGGTGATTTTTACCACAGATTGTGGTCTTTTGAATCTTATGAAACTCATGCATTCATAAAAATGTATGAATTCAGATTTAATCAATAGATCACCAAGGCTTGAAAAATGTTCCATGGACCAAAATAGCACCCCAAGAGTGGTTCCTGCCCATTAACTGTGCATCATCAGCTGCATATCAGGATGAAGTCCACTGACAACTGAACATGTATTTTCAGAAATTGATTGAATGTGAATTTACCCACCAGAGCGGAAAGACTCCAAAAGAACCATTCTAGCCTGCTAAATGCGTAGCATACATTTTAAAGACTTAGCTGGGTTATAGACTAACTTTCTCTGAAGCTTGTAGAGGAATTTTGTACTTAGTATCATAGAAAATTTTTTTCAAATATGCATAGTTAGAAAACTTTCAGTGAACATCCAGAAAGGTTTGGAAATTCATCCGAAATCCTAGTCACAAATGGGCCAGATTTTAAGGGTTTAGGAACAGGAGGGTCTGTTCTTAGTTCTGGTATCGTCAACAGGAGAATGATATGTCAGAGGAGACTAAAGTCAAAAGTGGGGTTTGCTTATCAAAAGTAGTTTTGTGTATATACACAGTTTGCTATACACTGCAAGTAAACAAGTAGGGGATGGATAGTCTGGATTCTGGAGTTAAAATGGATAGGTTTTAATCCAAGCTCACCACTTACTAGCCTACTAATGCATGACATTTAAATTCTCTGGCCTCAGTTTTCTTATCTGTAATATGGGGAGGATACATTAATCTTAAGAAGTTAATAGCATTTCTATGCACTAGCCAAAAATAAAATTATTCAAAATATGACTGTATTAATAACATTACATATCAGGTTTACAAGAATAAATGTAACAAAAGATGAGTAACTTATAGGGAAAATTGATGTTATGACTGACTATATAGAAAATTAAAAAAAAAACTCTTGACAAAGTGTTATAAATAAAAGGATAATTTACCAAGGAGCCAGATAAAAGATCAACAGATAGCAATAGCATTGCTATACATAAATTTTAAAAAATAACCAGTAGATATAAGTTAAAAAATGATATCATTTATAATAGCATTAAAAGAAAATAATGTCCCTCAGACTAAATATAACAAAAACCAGGCAGTACTTTCTATAGGGAAAATTATAGCACTTAGTTAGCAGACATTAAAAAAGCGTTAACTAAGTAAAGAGATATGCCATATTCACGAGTAGTGCATTTAATATTGAAAAAGTATCAGTTCCCCTGTCAAATGATCTTTCAATTCAATTCAGTTCCAACTGAAAGCCTAATGAGCTTTTTGTGGACCCTGATAAGCTAATTTTAAAATATATAAGAAAGAACAAAGGAACAAATTCTGAAAAAAATGATAGGAGGGCAAGAGGACTTACTCTATTGGGTGTCAATATTTATTATAAACCTCCAGAATTTAAAACAGCATGGCATAGGAATGTAGTAGAGAGTCTGGAAGCAGACCCACACATGGAGCTCTAACGTAAAGCTAGCAAGCCAGATCAGTGGAAACCGAAGGAATGTGTTAAAACGTGGATCTTCACAAAATGATTACTTATATAGCAAAAAGAGGAATTTGTATCACTCCCTCACACCCTACACAGATATTAACATCAGACATATCAAGTACTTAAATGTCATACGTAAAATTTTAGAATTCTTTATAGGATATAGGTAAATATTTTTATGATATTGGAAAAGGGGAGACTTTCTTAAACTAGAAACAAAAGTGCTAACTATAAAATAAAATATTGACAAAGTTGACTATAGTAAGATTAAATTTGTGCTCATCAAAACATACCTTAAAGAGAGAAAACAGGCCAATTACAAATTGGAAAAAGATATTTGTGGCAATAAACCAAAAATAACAAAGAAAATATAAAACTCATACAGAACAAGAAGAAAAGATAATCCAATAGAAAATAAGCAAGATACATGAATAGGAATTTCACAGAAGAGAAACCCATATGGTCAATAAACATATGAAAAGAAATTCACCTTTATTAGTGATCAGGGAAAGCATATTAATTTCATATACCATTTTATGCCATGTGTTGGAAAGGAAATAGATCCATAGGAAGGTCTTTACTTTGCTAGTGGAACTATAAACTGAATCAACCACTTTGAAAAATAATGTGGCATTGTCTTGTGAGGATGAATTCTTACATACCCAAACCATCTCACTCCTAGATTCCTATCCAAGAGAAACTTTCACATGTACACCAGAGGACATGTGCAAGAATGTTCATAGCAGTACCTTTCATAATTGTGGAACTATTGAAACAAGCAAAATGCCCATCATCACGATAACAGATAATGTGTAGCATACAAAGTTGATGGAATATTAGCCTCAAAACAGATGAATTATAGCTATATACAATGATATGGATGAATCTTAGCAGCCTTGAGTAAAGTCAACTCTGTGTTTATAAGTATTTAAAAAACCACCTAAAATACATACATTGTAGAAACATATCAAATGATGTTAAGAAATTCAAGAAAATGAGAAACAAGACTCAGGCTGATGGAAGGCCCAGGGACAGGATGAAGTTGGAACACATGGGTTAATATTGATTTTCTAAGTTCTAGTCCTTTTGTTAAATGGTAGGTTCATGGATGCATAAATAATAAAAAGAAAATAAAAAAATTAATTAATAAAAGAGATAAGGTTTTTGAGCAGAAAGTTACATGAGAATTTTTGTGTGCTACAATATCTTGGAGATCTTAAAAAAAACAGTGATTTTCTTTACATTATGACAGTATTTTCAGGAAAAGAAAATCTAACTGATTTCCCACTTTTTCAAACCGGTTGTCATTTGGGACTTGAGGCATAATACAACATGCTTGACATGAAATAAGTAATTTTTTCATTAAATCTGCCAATGTGAAATTTTAGAAGCTGTTCAGTCTAACCAAGAGCCAGTTCCTCTGTCCTTATTGTTTATTGCCATTAGAAGACAATACCTTAAGCTCTCAGTCGTCTTCTCAAAATTCTCTCTCAGAGTCCTTTGGAAGCCTACATATTGTATTTGATAACCCATGTGGAGAAACTTTAAAAGAACATAAATTTAGGGGAAATTTTCTGAAGTTTTACAGCTTCATTGAGTTCTAGGTCCTTGTCTTGCTAGTGTCAAGTGAGGTGAGGAAATAAGGAAAATTCTGTGCTCTTGCATTGAGGCTCTGAACTAGTAGCTTAAAACGGCCCCTGGGGATAGAAATAAGAACAGACTGAACCCTGCTGTAACCTGCCCACCTGGCATCATACCTCAATTGACTGTACGGCATAGCATGAAAATGTGCATTTGAACATACAATTGACCATGCAACATTTACTTTCATTGTTGCTGTGGGAAAGTATGGAGTGCCCCCATTTTCACAACCAACAGCTCTGAAAGATGAATGACTCAGGGAAACTTTCCAAGAAGATGTTGCCTGCCTCTCAGACATTTCCAAAAATATTCTTGAAGAAAGGGGAAATTATTCCTTAAGATATTGTTATTGTCTATTTAGAAACACAGAAAAACAATTTTTTTCTCATTAAAATATAGAAGGAAAAGGAAGTGGTATCTGTTAAGATTAGGCATCTTGTAGAGTAAGCAGTAGTAGATTCAGTCCTGATAGAAAGAAATCCACAAGACTTCCTACATTCTTTTGTTAATCCCAAATGTCATCATGTTGAATATTGCTTATAGTGAGTCATTGGCTAAGACAAGTAACTTATTTGTTTCACTGAACTTTATCATTGTATTATATGTTATAATGGAATTTTACCTTTCCCTAAGAAGCAAACCATCCTTAGAAACTCTGGAAGCAGCCTACATCTGTGTTTACAGATAGGTGACATATCTATATGATCACATTATATTCTTCTCTAGATGCTTGTAATAAAAACAAAATCTTTTAAAGTAATGATAAACCTAAAATACGTATCACTTCTCTTATCTTGAGCTACTCTTGAAAAAAATATATTACCAAAGGAGAATTTTAGGGGAAGTCAGTATTGGAATTTTCACGTAGTTTGAAGTGGTGTTGCTTTCTGACGAAGGAAATTAGCAGAGAAAGAAAAACCCCTAGGACTTTAACTACTGGAAGTGTTTTCTCCTGCAAATGTGCATTCATGTCCTGTCTCATATTTGTCTGATTAGGATGATTCTTCCCCCGACCCAGAGATCTGGATTCGGTTAAGCTCTGTGCCCATGTATGGTATTCTCTTAAGAACCTTAGGACCTGAGATGGAAGAACTCTCAGAAGTTTCCAATTTCACAATGGAAGACATCAACAACAAGAAAATTAGGTACATAATCACTTTTTGTTATTCCACAGATATTTTTACATTTTATTAAAAACTATTTACGCAACTGGTTATAGCTGTCTTGAAAGAATATATTGTTTCTGGTCCATTTTTAAACAAAGATACAGTCATCCTATCTGACTTTCAGAGTGGCTCTTTCATTTGATTCTTTTTGGCCATTTATAGGTATTCAGCTGGGTTTGAAACGGACGGTCATCTGGTTATTGATAGCTTCCATTTCTCTGTCTCTGACATGGACCACAACCATCTGGACAATCAGATGTTTACCATCATGGTCACTCCTGTTGAAAACCCACCTCCAGTCATTGCTTTTGCTGACCTTATCACGGTAAACAGTTTTCAAATCAATAAGCAGTGAGTACTACAGAGAACTGAAATCTGTGGTAATATAAACCAAGGATTTCTGCCTAAATTGGCTGCCAAGTTTTCTTCCCAAATATCCAGGCAATGGTGTCAAGAAATGCATGGTTTTCAATCATGAGTTTTTCAAAAAGCATGGAAACAAATACACAGAAGATCAAATCATTATATCTACATTATTTAGTCAACAAATATTTAATGTGCTAGGCTCTATGCTAGATGTTGTTAGTATTGGGTATAAAATTGGAAATAGAATCTATCTTTGAGGGGTTTACAATCTCATGTTGGAAGTGTGCCCAAGTCACTCCTTAACTCAATTCAATACTTAGCACTGTGATAAGACCCAGACATGAGTTCAAGTGCCAGTTCTGTTACTTACCAGCTGTGCATGTAATCTTTCTTAGACTCGGTTTCTGTGTCTTTTATTATTATTATTATTATTATTATTATTATTGAGACAAGGTCTCATTATGTTGCTCAGTCTGGACTTGAATTCCCGGGCTTAAACAATCCTCCCACCTCAGCCTCCACAGTAGATGAAACTATAGACATGTACCACTGCGTCCAATTCTCACCTTTTAAATATTGCTATTCTTATTACAAAAATGATTTCTCTGATAATTAATAGAATAGTATGAGCCACAGTATGCAGTTTATGGTAAGGATTCTGTAAAAGTTCATCATTCCCTCTTCCTTCTCTATTACATGCCCTAATGCCAAAAGTGTGGGAGTTTTCTGGCTTTGTTGAGTAACTGAAAATTCACAACACTGAGTTGTTTCTAAATGGTTCTGATACTCCTCCCATGTTTCCATTCTCACACCTTGGGGAAGCTGATTGACCATCCCATTCTCAGAGCAACCTTCCATTTTGTAATTTATAGGTCTTGCTACAGTTGGCCAAGAGTTGTTCAGAGTGAAATGGGTTGACCAGCTCCAGCAGGCTGGAGAAAAATATCAGGCTGAGGCTGCAAGGCTAGCATACAAACAGAGCATTGCCCAAAACATTTAGTTTGAGCAGCTGCGTTTACTAATCCTGATTTATTTTCCTCTTTGACATTAAGATACTGTGCTACCTTTCAAATATAGCGAATCTCTCTTCCCACACACCTATAAATATACAATATGAAGGAATAAGTGGGGCTCTCACTCTAGATGGGAATGCTATAGGAGAGAGTCACTCTCAGCATCCAAGGGAGGGCTGGATGTGTCATTCTCCACCTGTGGGCTTTTGAATGTCAATGTGGAAGGAAGGCAGCCATCCTGGCAGGCAGCTGAATGAGATGGGAGATTAGAATGGGCCGGAGCTGCTTTATAACCAGATCCATCACTGAATGATGTGCAACTTTGAAGGGAGATATAGAAGGCATCATGTCTGAGTGCGGTTCTGAGAGGTGCTAAGCGATGGCCTGGCTTCGGCAGAGCACACATCCCTCATCTCGTCTGTGGAGCATCTGCCTCCTCAGAAAAGTGAAATGGGTGCTGGAAGGTCACCACGGGCAGCACTTTTCAGCTCTGTTCTTTTTTCCTGCAATCACCCAAGGACTCTTCCCACTCTCTTCTTCCTTAGGTTGATGAGGGAGGGAGAGCCCCACTCTCATTTCACCATTTCTTCGCTACGGATGATCATGAGAACCTTCAGGGAGATGCCATCATTAAACTGAGTGTTCTGCCCAAGTATGGCTGTATTGAGAACACAGGAACAGGTACCAGCTTCACTGTAGAATGTTCGGGGCCTGGAAGGAAGGGAGGGGTGAGGAAGAACTTTACATCCAATTAAATCTGGAGATGGAGAGGAATAGGACTGTTCAAAGAAATGGAAGGGAGATTTTATTTGTTTGGCAAAAGTTTACTGAGCATTTTCTGTGTGCCAGATACTTTTAAAGCACTAGGGATACATCAGTAAACAAAACAGACAAACTCCCTACCTCCATGGTGCCTTTGATACTGCTGAAGAGAGACAAAAAGCCTAAGAAATGAGATTCTTGTGTCAGGTGTTAGAAGGTGAATACATGCTATGGGAAACATGGAACAGGGCAAGAGCATTTAGAGCCCAGCAATAGGGTAGAGGGCCTTGGGGACCACACTCAGATGAGCGTCCAGGAAGTTAAAATTCCTGTCCTTTTATTATGAGGCAGCTGTAGTTTAGGTGAGCCATCACTTATATCTCAGCTCCTCTACGGCTTGCCACAACTTGAAATGTGTGCTGTCAAACTGGAACACCCTCCCCTCAGCGCTCCCCTCCACCATCTGCCTAGGACCCCCTGGTGGTTATCATAGAGAAGAGGCAAGAAGGCATGCCCTGTCCACAGGCCTCTGAGACCTCTGTGACTGGTGGCTGAGACAGCTTCTGGCAGGTTGCTGTGCCATAGCCCCTGTGCAGAGACGCCTGAGTGCCCACATAGGGTTCTAATTGGTGCGCAGCTAGCAGCTCCCACAGAGAGGCCATGACTGTAGGTGTGTGGCCAGCATGGGGCCTGGGGTTGGAGTCTGGTCAACAGAAACTCACTGAGCAGTGGTACAATGAGCACAGTCTTGGGTCTTTTCTCCATCTTGCCTTTCAGTGTGTGCTCTCAGATTTGTTTATTGCAGAATTAGTTTATTTCAATAAACCTTTATGCCAGATACAGTGGGTATAAAGCTGAGTAAGACATAGCCCTGCCACGAGTGGGGGGCAGATGTGAAGACTGATAAATCACAGTGATTGAAAATGCCAGATGGGGAGAGAAGTAAAGCACAGAGAGAGTGTATAGTACAAGCCAGTGACTTTTGGCAGGGGAGGCAGGAATGTCTGCAGTCGTGACATTTGAGTTGGAAACTGAAAGGTCAACAGAACTCGCCACGGGGCAACAGGAAAGTGGCATTTCTTACAGAGGGAAGGGTTGGAAAAGGTGGGAAATTGTGAAAGATGTCTGCTACCAACCTTCCTTCTCTCTCTCAGTGTGACCTCCTGGGAAATCCTCCTGTATTTCCTACTGAATCTTCCTAACAGCATTCCATGTCACCGGTGATACAGGAGGCACAGAGATTCTCTATGTAAAGAAGTATCCCGTGGTTGGGAAGTCAAATTTCTGGCAAGTCTCAGCCTCTCTTAAAAGTGGCCCTCAAATTTTAATATACATAGAATCACTAGAAGGACTGGTCAGTCTGCTGGGCAGCAACCCCAGAGTTTCTGTTTTAGGAGGTTAGTGGAACCTGTGAGTCTGCATTTCCACCATGGCTTAGGGAACTTCTGCTCTATAATAACCTTGGTATCAACCTGAAAAGACAAAAAAGGCATTCAGGGGAGCAAAACAGTTGTCCCGAGGTACATTAGCTGAAGACCCCACCCCTTGCTCACCTGTGGAAAACCCTGCTCTACAGGGAGAAGTCCTTCTGCCTCTACTAGAACTGAGTCTGTTTTTATGTGTGTGAAGCTGGCTACCTAGACTCAGAACCCAGTGGACCCAAGAATTTTGCTTTAAGAATGGTTAGAAGAAGCAGCTTTTACTTTTGACATCAAGAAAAATAATTATTATTTTGTTAGGTATGAAATCTAGTGGCATGGAGTCTGAATTCATTACAATGCAGTAGTAGATGTTCACAATGATAACCCGCGTGCTTGAAGAACTATTTAATTCAAACCTAGTATATTCTGCTTAAGAAAGCAGGGAAGCACATTAATAAGAATGACTTATATAAAAAAAATAGAAGGTGTGACTTTAAAAATTGAAAGAATTGATGCTTAAACCTTCAGTGACAGATAACGTGTTAAACAGCTTTTTCTCCAATGATCTACTAGGAGGCATTACTATATTTATATATACTTCAACATCATTTAGGCTATACTTTTGTCCCAAATTACAAAGCCACATTTCTCCTGTTTATAGAGATTGATGGAAGAAGAAAGTAAAAATCTGAAGGAATTTTAACGGTTTTTCTAGATACTTGGACTGTATGTCTTAGAAATTATTGGGTCCTTGACCACTTAGACCTCTGTACATTTCTGGAATCCAGAGGAATCTAATCTGAGGGATAAAATTTAAGAAAGTCCATACCATTGAAGAAAAACATTGTGTTGAGCTCTTCTTTCAAGCAAATTGTAACAAATATGGCACTGTCTACAATTCAGGAAGTGAATGACCTTTAATTTATGATATGATTTTTACAAAGGATCATGGAGAGGGAAAGGGGACAGCCTTGTTGCCTTCAAATCTGCTGGCTCCACTATCCCATGTTGCTAGGTATCCAGGGAATGTCTGAAGACACAGGGGTTCTTTTTTCTCCTCTCTCTAGAAGAACATCACAGTGACAATTTAAAAATCAATTATGGAGACTCAGATTAGAATCAAGTAAAAGACAAGCGATCCATCATTTAGGCACTGCTTACTCTTCCCTGGGCCTTTTACAGTGTTTTGGGATTGGGATGAGAAGAAGAGTAAACTGAAGCCAGCCCTTTCTGTGGAACTCTGAGTGGTACCTGGGCATCTTAAGACCTGAATGGCCCCTGAACTCTAAGTGGTACCCGAGTGCCATAGCATCTAAGTGGTCCCCAGGTATCACAGTAGCCCTGGTGTACTGTCACAGGGGCTAGGCTCTGACCAGCACAAGACCAGGAATATTGTGATCATGAGGCTCTCTTTAGAACTGGAAGTTGACCTTATCAAACTGATGAGCTTCTGCAAAGCAAAAGAAAACATCAAGAGAGCAGGGAGATAGCCCACAGAATGGGAAAAAATATTTACCAACTGCATATTTGACAGAGGCCTAACATCTAGGATCTACAAGGAACTCAAATGTGCCGAAAGGAAAAAAACAAAACAGCCCCATTAAAAAGTGGGCAAAAGACATGAATAGACACTTCTCAAAAGAAGATATATGGGCAGCCAACAGACACATGAAAAAGCACTCAGCCTCACTCATCATCAGAGAAATGCAAATCAAAACCACATTGAGATACCACCTAACCCCAGTAAGTATGGCCATCATTAGTAAAACAAACAACAACAGATGCTGGCGAGGATGCGGAGAAAAAGGAATACTTCTACACTGCTGGTGAGAATGCAAACTAGTGCAACCTCTTTGGAAGACAGTGTGGCGATTTCAGAAAGAACTAGAAACATATGACCCAGCAATTCCTCTATTGGAAATATACCCGGAGGAACTTAAATCATTCTACAAAAAAGATACCTGCACACGTATGTTTGTTGCAGCTCTATTCACAATAGCAAAAACATGGAACCAACCATGCTGCCCATCGTAGCTGGGCTGAATAAAAAAAAAATGTGGTACATATACACAATGGAATATAAAGAAGGACAAACATATGGACTTCAACTTGGATGGATTTAGAGACGATCATGCTCAGTGATTTATCACAGAAACAAATAACAGAGTATCATATGTTCTCACTCATAAGTGGACCTTGAACAATTATAATACTATAAGAAAGGGGTTGGCAGTAGTGGGAAACTGCCAGGGGAGGGGGGGTAGGATTGGCAATTGAGGGAAGCTGCTAGGGGAAGGAGGGGCACACCTCATCAACAAGGGTACCTGCATAATCAACGTTTGTATACCTAACCCTGAATTGTACCCCACATCTTTAAAATAAAAAAAATTTTTAAAAAAGAACTAGGAAGTTAAATGAAAACATGACGGAGATAAAATGATGTACAGTTAACTTTTCCTTATGTAGAAAAAGATGGTTCCTCTTGCAGAGCATGCCAGATCGAGTGGTTTTGAAACTGGAGCTTATGGTAGAATCTTTGCTTTTGTACTGTTACTTGCCCCAGGACTTATGTTATTAGAGACTCCTAATAAAGCAACCAATGATTCTCCATTACATGAAATAATAATATTCTGAGTGCTTTGTTTGCATATTATCTCATTTGACTCCCTGTGGAAAGGACAGGACACGCATATTCGTGTATAGATGAGAGGTGCCCCGTGGGGAAACTGGGATCTACCCCAGGCCTTTCAGCTTCTGGTCTTATGCTTAGCCCCCTCTCCCTCTTTTATCCTCAAACATATTTTCATCTGTTGAAAATGACGTCTTGTTTTCTAATTCTGTGCAGTAAGCAGGAATTGATGGATCGAGGTAAAAATCCTCTCTTGATGTTGATGCAGGTGACCGTTTTGGCCCTGAAGTTACCAGTGACCAGGAGGCATCATTCCCTATTCAAGATGTCCTGGAAAACTACATCTACTACTTTCAGAGTGTTCATGAAAGCATTGAGCCAACCCATGATATTTTCAGTTTTTATGTGAGTGATGGAACCAGTCGTTCAGAAATTCACAGCATCAATATCACCATTGAGGTAAAAGACTGGAAGTTGGAAAGGTTGAACCTTTGACCACAATAGCTTACCATTAGATAACTTTCTTTATATGGACTCAAAAGCAAAGAAGATTGGATTTGACCTTCAATTTTAAAGGTCATTTAAAAAATATAGCCTTCAGAAAACTTGTAGAGTTAAGGTTGGCATTTGGGGAAGGTTTGAATTGGAAATCTGAATTTCCACTTCAGGGTAAAATTTATTCATTCTGTGTGAAAAACATTTTGTGACGGTCAGACAGAGAGATCTTGCGGGTCCCAGATTTAGATGAAAACTAATATATGCCCATTTTTCTCTGAACTTGTCGTGTTTGGTTCTATATGCCTATTTGCCTTTTCTTATTTTTAATGCAGTTATTTATTTAATTGTAACATCGAAGAAACATGTTTTTTTATGCTGTATTCTTATTTGAGCAACTACACAGGCTTGCTCTACCACCCCAGAGAGAGAGAGAGAGAGAAACAGAGACAGACAGACAGACAGACAGACAGAAAAGATATATTTCAGAATGGAATGCCCTCTGCCTTGGGAAAATGAAATGGATAGAGCACTTGGCACTCTGAAGTGACAGTGTTGAAAAGGGGCTGGTACGAGGGCAGGGAGACATTTAGAAAACCACCCTTTCAAATATGGTATCCTTCTACAAGTACAAGTACTGTGATGTGCAGGGCTTTTTGCAGCTGTTCTGGGTTCAAGTAGTGTGCCCTTTTATCTCCCAAATATATTTACATCTGTCAAAGCACATGTCCATATTTTTAATCTAGAAAATAAAGTCATTGTACGTATGGAAGAGATCTCAGATTTTTGTGGAATGCTCAACAAGGGGAATTGTATATGTGTGACTTGCTCTCTTTTCTAACTTGTAGTTTTAATTGGGAAGAAAAGATGATGACATATTAGATTCTATTTTGACAGAGAAAGTCATTGAGACAATGATACTTTCTCTGAATAGTGTACATTTTCTTTCTCTTAAACCAATATCTATGTGAAACCTACTATTTTATGCTTTAATCAGAGAAAGAATGATGAGCCTCCCAGGATGACCTTGCGGCCCCTCTGGGTACAGCAGAGCTCAGGAGTGGTGATAAGCAATTCTTCTTTGAGCCTGCAAGACCTGGACACTCCAGATGATGAGCTGATTTTTGTACTGACAAAAGAGCCTGACCACGGTAGGATATGAACTGCTATGAAAAGCTTCTTAATTGAGGTCCCCGATGGTTTATTAGAACCAACACGTAGATTCCAATTGAGTGTTTATCTGCCTTTCCTGTATGTGGTCCATTCTTTGCATCAAAATAATCAAATTCACAGTTAGCCAATATGCTTCAGAATCATGTTAGACACTGGTTGTTTAAAAGCCTCAATCCTCATTAATTGATGTGTCTGAAGTTTAATTTCTGCTCTTTTCTTACTTTCCTGTGTAACCCACGCAAAACAGGTTTGGATCCACCCATCCTCTTCTCAGAGTAGACCTCAGTGTTTGCTATCCTGAACCATCTCGTGTAACCCTAGAGAACCACACTAGATGTTTTTATTTATTTGATCCTTTCACAAAGAAAGCAGTTTTCCTGATTTAAACCAGATGCTAAAACCACAGTTGGGTTCTTTTCCCACTTCTTTTCTAAGCGCCATTCACCTGGTATTAGCTGAAGCTCTAGACCCAAGTGGTGTGTGTCAATCCATTGCAGTGCCCACTGGTCTTTTCAAGTTGAGAGACATTTGTATACCTAATCCTGAATTGTACCCCACATCTTTAAAATAAAATAAAATAAAATAAAATTTTAAAAAGTTGAGGGGGCTGCTGTGGGTGGAGGTTAATACAAAATGCTGTTGGTCATTGTAGTTTAACTTGCTTTCCTTCATTTTCACCTTCTTGAATGAAGCTCTTTAGCTATTCCATTGTGGTGCATGACCCTTGAACACAGAAAAATATGCCTCAATCTAAAGATGCTCCGTGTCTTTCTTAATCTAAAAGGATCTTACAGCATATTTCTGTTTTCCACTCCAGAGGCCCTAAGAGAAAGACAGTGAATGAAGAGTGCTTTTTTCCTTTGAGGAAAGAGAAAATAAGGTTTAGATAATGAAGTGAGCCTGAATTCATGAAGGGAAATGTGATTTCTAAGCCTCTATATTACCATATCCATCTGTGTTGCCTTAAGAGATTTTATTAACCAGGAGAAGTGGGACTTTGTCTTCTTCATTTATAGATGAGGCCACAAGGCAGTGGCCTGGGTTTATATATAAAATGCTAAGCTGCTGGTACCCAAGGCCTCTGAGGTCCTTGACTTTCTACCCAGGCTCACACTAGCTGGCAACACCAGACGATGTTTTAGTGCCATGTACATTCTACCACTGTTTCTTTGTTTTTCATTACTCCCTTCCTCAGGTCATCTTCTCAGGAGGCAAGCTGCCTCCGAGCCTCTGGAGAATGGGACAGTTTTGGCTCAGGGTGCCTCCTTCACCTACCAGGATGTCCTGGCCGGGCTGGTCGTATATATGCCTGGGGGCCCCAGCATGGTTGTGGATGAATTCCAGTTCTCCCTCACCGATGGCCTCCATGTGGATGCAGGGAGAGTGGAGGTCTACAAGGAATTGCCCATCAGTGATATGCCCCGCTTGGCTGTGAACCGAGGCCTGCAACTTTCAGCAGGTACTACAGGCATAGAAGAGAGTGACCGTGGTTCCCCTATACTTGTTCTTCCTTTGTCCTATGTGTATCTTAAATCAGTTGTTCCGTACTTGGAGAGATTGGAGTTTCAGAAAACTGTTGTTTTAGGTTCCTGAGAATTGTGAATGACACATATGAGCCTCTGAAATTTTTTGGACCAGATACTTCTGTCTGTGAATTGAAGAAAAGGTTGAGAAGAGTTTAGAGAATTTCCAGTGTTCTCAAAAAATCTTAATTTATCCAACTACTCAGACCCACGTTTCCTGTAACATTGTTCAACAAACCCCACAGAAATGAACAACAAAAGACCTACAGCAGGATTTTCAAGATACTTATTGGGGGAGAAAAAGATAGGAAGGGACGCTTGGGAAACCATCATGCATTTAAAAAGACTATGCACATAATTGAGAATGACCAGATCTGTTGTTCTAGGGTCTAAAACTCACAGTTTTGCTTATGTTTAAGCAACACTGAAGGGCCTGGGACACATGTCTTAGACACAGGTCACAGCAGGGAGTTAATTAGGGAGTGGGCTCTTGCCCACAGAGCATCTGCATCTCACTCAAGTTCTGTTGTTTGTCTGTTCTTAGTTTCACATGCATTTGGCAATGAAAAATATATGGCATAATAATATTTGAAAACTCGGGAATTCCCAAAGGTCCCAGGTTTGGAGTCCATGATTTGACTTTACCCTACTACAAGCTCATAAGCTAACTTGCTGCTATTCCGTGGATGCTGGTGGACAAAGTGCTCTGTCCATCAGAGACAAAGTGCTCTGTGACTCAAGGCACAGCAGGCAGCATGGGCAGCAGCATATTGGCATTGGTTCCCTCTGCCTTCCACATCTCATGAGGGTGATGCACAGAAGGGCACCCTCATGTGCAGTGGGGTGCATTCTCGAAGAGAAACACTGGACTTGAGAACTTTCCATGCTACAGCAGGCAGAGAGCAGGCCTGACTTTTGTCCCAGAATAGGATGTTATCTCAATTCAGGGTTATCTTCTGAGACCTGGCCTTGGTGGTGGTCAGGTCTAGCCTTCTCAGCATTACCTATCTGCAGGAAGGCTCAGGTTCTTGGTGGAGTGCCACCCCAACACCAGGATGTACTACACATGGATGATTGGGCTCTGCTTTCCTAGAATTCACTGTTTTTAACATGACAAAATAGCTGGTTGGGAAAGCAAGTGGCAAGATCCCAAGAAAAGGAGTTTGTCAGCTGCCAGTGGCTTGCCTGCATTCCCAACTCCTGTGTGTCATCCAGGGTCTAGAGACCTGGGCCTTGCTTCTCTTACTACCTCCATCCCAACACCTGTGCAGCATCCAGGCTCAGAGGCTCATACCTCGCTGCTCCTAATGTCTCCACATCTAACACCTGTACAGCATCCAGTACCCAGGGGCTGAGGCCTCACTGCTCCTAATGCCTCTGTCCCCAACCCCTGGGTAGCATCCTGGACTCAGGGACTTGGGCCTCCCTACTGTTAATGCCTCCACCCCAACCCTTGGACAGCATCCAGGCTCGAAGCTTGGGTCTCTCTGCTCCTAATACTCAGCATATCTTCTGTCTTGAGAAATGCTGATTTTGACTATTCAGTATGAGTTGGTAACAAAATATGTTTATGAGTTTCTAAAAAGCTATTTTTTTTATGATTTGGTGATCCTCAAGATAGTAAATAAATCCAAACAGATTTCATCTAGGTTTTGAAGTTATTTGCATCACAGAAGTAGGAATTGTTACATAAATCTAGGTACTAGCTGATAGGTCACTGGGTAGAGCAAGCAAAGGGAGATACTGAAAATAAATCAGAAGAGAAAAAAGTCACAGCTGCGAACTCAGGGGATAATTAGCAAATGGGAAAGTAGGGACTCTATCACTTAGGGACATTAAAATCTATTCAGTTGGAAACTGAGAAGGGCAAGTGCCTGGTAACCAGACCCAAAAAAACATGTAATGATGTAGCCTCCAGTCTCTGAAACCATTTGACATCCCTGTCATAGGACATGACCTACTCTCTTCTGCTCTTCTCAAAGGGTCTGTAGCACGCATCACAGAACAGCACTTGAAAGTGGCAGATACTGACTCCAATGACCACCGAGTTTTGTATATTCTGAAGGAAGATCCTGGTGCAGGGCGCCTGCAGATGGTCAAGCGTGACAGCCTGGAGCAAATCTCCATTAAGGGCCCAGTCCGAAGCTTCTCCCAGGCAGACATCAGCAAAGGTCAGCCTTTCCCTTCCATCTACCCTAACTTCCCTGGACTCTACTCATAGTAGTAAATGAGAATTAAATGCCTAGCAGACTGTGGCAGTCAACTGTGTGCTCTTTGTTTTGAATAGCTTCATTTATTCTCTTTCTTGTCTCCTCATTTCTTTGTTTAAAAGAAATGAAATAATTATCTTCCTTAGCTAAAATATGCTCATGCTTTGACTTGGCATTGATAAAAGTTGGGGCTATTATGGAGGGGAAAAGTCATTTTGACTTGCTGTGATGCTAAAAAGTGGGGGGAGAAGTGAGTTGGGATGGATTAAGATGAAAATGATGCCTTCTGTAGGTGAGCAGTTTACATCTCTTCTCAGTTCCCCAAAGAGCACAAGTTAATGAACTGAGCAAAATGGAAGGGCACACATCAGAGCTGCCTGGGGCCATTACGTGGCTCATCCTCCTGCGGAAAACACTGATATCATGTAGAGGCACAAACGTTCAATGCCACGTTGCTACTGGGCAACTTTTAGGGTTGAAAAAGGGGACAAAGTCATACAGTGGGGAAGAAAGTAGTTCATAGTCATGTGATGATATGCAATCCCATTTAGAGGTGGAAGTGGGCCATGGGGAGCAGAAACATGGGTCCTGCACGCCCACCACCATCTGGGAGCGGCATTGGCTGAATTCTATATTTAGTGGAGAAGGTGGGAGGGGCAGAGCGATAGTCATCCCTGGATTGTTCCATGCAGCAGCATCTACTTGATTTTATTTTATATTATTTTTTATTTTAAATCAGTGGGGTACAATTCAGGATTTGGTATATAAGTGGTCATCATACAGGTAAATTTTGGGCCTTCCTTTGGTCCCCACTTCACTTGATTTGAATTCAGGTACCCTTATTGACGTTGTGTTCCCCCCACCCCACCCTGGCAGTATGCCACTACTGCCAATCCCTTTCTTATAGCATTATAGTAAATGTTCAGGGCTTACTTATGAGTGAGAACATGTGGTACTCTATTCTTTGTTTCTGTGATAGATCACCGAGTATGATAGACTCTATATAGCGTCTACTCTTTAACAATGAGAGGGGCACATTTTCCCAGAGGCTTGGTTGTATTTACATAACCAAATTAATAGGCACTTATGCCATGGGTTAACAAAAATATAATACAAGGTCTTTCCCCTTTGGGCCTTTCTGGCTTCTGTAGAGTTTATTTACTTGTTTACTTATCTGTCTGTTGGTTATAGTGAATGTTGTTCTGTGCATAGTTCCAGGCAATGGGAGGTGAGCGGTCCAGGGAGAAGGTGGGCTGCAGCTCCATGTACTCTTGCCCTTCGATATGGTTGTATAAGGGGGTCACTTGGAGTGATGTGGGTGGGGCCAGTGTAGACTTTACACATATGTGATTTTGTGAATCTAGTTTTTATGAGACCTTCCTGGAGGCTGAGCTGTGTTTTGTTTGTTTGTTTTTTAAAAAGGGCTCAGCCTTAACCATAAATAAAGTCATGCAGGGTGACTTTGTATGAGGTCTTTGGTTATGAGGATGTAGATGGTAAGAAAGGAAAGGAAGAAAATGAAAATTTTAGATTAAAATGTCAAGGTGAGGAAGGTGTTAATTGATTTATTGGTGTGAATACCAATTGGATTACCACCTCTCACTTCAGAAACAAGGGCAGAAAGTGCTAATCGCAAATCTTGATTTTTCCCCCCCTTTTTGTAGGGCAAGTCGAATACAGTCATGGAATAGGAGAACCTGGTGGGAGCTTTGCTTTTAAATTTGATGTGGTTGATGGAGAAGGCAACAGATTGATTGACCAGTCATTTTCCATCAGTGTTTTAGGTAAGAGGGTGTTCGGTTTTCTAATATAAAAATACTTTAGCGATTTTGAGGTTATGTAGTCTACACTGTGCTCACCTTGAGGCTTGAGACCTTTCCTTCACTTGCCTGGAATAGAAACTGAAAACCAGACCCTCTCTGTTGCACAAAGCTCTGTTCTGTGGTGTGCTCTCTGACAAACAGGACTAAGGATGACTAGAATGAAAGAGCAGAGGCTGAAAAGATCCCATCTCAAATCTGGTATTTTCAGGAGCCAAATCCCCACCAGTCATCGTCACCAATGAAGGGCTGGTCTTGGATGAAAACTCAGTGAAGAAGATCACTACCCTGCAGCTGTCTGCTACTGACCAGGACAGTGGGCCTGCAGAGTTGATCTTCAGGATCACCAGACAGCCCCAGCTAGGGCACTTGGAACATGCAGCATCGCCAGGTAAGTCCATTATCTCTTGAGTCATCACACCCAAAGTTGGGACTTGGCAAGTGTTGGAGGCAACCAGGTCATGTGTCCTGTACCTAGAATCTGCCTTAACTTGTATTTATTTTCTGCTTCACTAATTTTGCACTGCCTTGTATTACACTTAGCATACAGTAAGAGCTTAATGATTACTTGCTGAAAGTGAATAAAAACTTACAATTTTATATAAGCAATCTTGTCTCCATCAATAGGTTGTCAATCCTTTTAGGGAAAACATCACACCCTATTTTTCTCCTGTGCTCCCTGGATCATGTGATACCTTGAAATTCATTGTACTTAACAATTCAGGCAAACAAGTAGCAACTGGGCATGCATTCTGAGCAAGATTCTAGTTTGGTTATTGCTCAGGAAAAAAAGATTAATAAGATATAATCCTCATCCTCCAGAGTTCCCTACTAGAGGAGATAAGGAACCATAACTCTGGGAAAAATATGGCAGGTGTTTTAAGAAAGGTAGAAACATGGTGTCTAGGAGCTTAGAAGTGAGAGTGGCTGCATTACATTGGACAGTATGCAGAGCTGGCTGTGAGTTGCCTTTGCAAGATGCAGTCTGGGCAGGCAGAATCTGTTCTTTCCAGAAATGAGAACAGCACGGAAGGCACATCTATAATATAATGAGCAGATCGGTTTGTCTGCAGCACAATTCTCAGGTAGTAGGAGGGGCTCCTGGGTGCTGAGAGCTTATGGAGGACCTTCAGGGCTGGGATGTCATCTCTGCTCAACTCAATAGACAACAGCAGCTCTGCAACATTCTGAGGAGGGAAGGAAGGTAGAATTTATCAGCGTCCTGTGGGATAAGCTAAAGGAGAGAGAAGAGGCAGCAGCAGAGGTTGGGGTGGTGGTGGTGGTGGTGGTGGTGGTTAGTAAGGCCTCAGCTAGAGCAGCAGCCGTGGCAATAGGAAGACCAGAGTCATGTGAGAGATAGCACCTGGTGCCTGGTACACATTTAGTAAACACTTGGTGGAGGGAGGGAAGAAGGAAAGAAGGAAGGAGGGAGGGAAGAAGGAGGAAGGGAGGGAGGGAGGGAGGGAAGGAGGAATTTAAGGGAAGAACTCATAGAACTCAACAGCTGAGTAGATGTGAGGGATAGGACAGACTTGCTGGATAAACAAGCTGAGGGTAGCATTATCTTTATTTCTTAGGACATAGAGGCAGTGATAGCTTGCTGGAGATTCAGATCTTCATTGGTTCTCTTTAGATTGGAGGATACAGATTCTTCATTAATTCAACCTGGGAAATAACAAAACAGGGAAGTGTCTACCCCTATGGTAGCCACTTTCTAATGCAGGGATTCAGACAATAGGCAAACCAACAGGCACATGTCAGATGGTGATGAGCATTATGGGGAGAATTGGGTATTCGCAGGGGTATACAGGCAACATGCAGGTGAGGGAAGCCTCCTGAATGACAAGGTGGCTGTTGAGTAGGTAGCAGAGGAGTGAGGGAGCAGCCACACTGACATATAAAGAAAGAACATTCTAGCTGGGTGCATTGGCTCACACCTGTAATCTGAGCACTTTAGAAGGCTGAGATGGGAAGATTACTTGAGCCAGGAGTTGTTTTTTGTTGTTGTTGTTGAGTTGGAGTCTCACTCTGTCACCCAGAATGGAGTGCAGTGGCCGCTCCTCACCACTGCAGCCTCGACCTACTGGGCTCCGGCAATCCTTCCGCCTCAGTCTTCCGAGTAGCCGGAATTACAGGCATGCACTACCATGCCCGGCTGATTTTTTGATTTATTGTAGAGATGAGGTATCGCCAAGTTGCCCAGGTGGGTCTCGAACCCACGAGCTCAGGCAACCCACTCACCTCAGCCTCCCAAAGCATGGGATTACAGGCTGAGCCACCGAACCCGGCTGAGCCAGGAGTTTGAGACCAGCCTAGGCAATGTAGTAAGACCTCATCTCTACAAAAATAAAAATTAAAAAAGTAGCCAGACATGGTGGCATGTACCTGTACTCCCAGCTACTTGTGAAGCTCAGGCAGAAGGATTGCCTGAACCTGGGAGGTCGAGTCTGTGGTGAGTTGTGATTATACCACTGCCTTCCAGCCTGGCTGACAGAGTGAGACACCAACTCAAACAAACAAACAACCACTAAAAAAGACACACACGGAGACCAAGGTGCCTGCAGCTGGGTGAATGAGGGGGAAAGTAGTGGGAGATTAGCTTCAAAAGATGGAGGGCGATCAGATGGAGGAGGCGAGGGAGGCGGGCAGCAGAGTCCAGTGTGACAGGGGAAGGCATGCTGGGCTTGTATGGCTGGAGGGCGGGGAGGATGGGCAGATTGGCTGACTTCCCTAATGTGATGCGGGCAGGCCGCCTACCCTCTGTCCCGAAGTTCTTGGGAGAAGCATGCAGATCAGCACCCCACCCCCTTGGCTGCAGGAGACATTTGATAACTAATTCATGAGCTTCTGCCAGAACTCGATCAGGTGCTGACTGTGTCTCTCCAAAGACAAAAGGGCAGGCTCTTGACTGCTGTGGGAGGCAGCTGTGTCTTCCCTGAGTGGAGCTCTCAGAGGCCCTGCATTGCCTTGCCCACCTGCTGGTCAGTCACAGGCCCCACCTTTCTGAAGAGTCCTGGCGGGGAGCTCCAGATTCCTTTTTGGTCTTCACAATGCTCAGCCTTTCCTGGGCTTAAATTCTGGGTACTAAGATCAAGTCAGCTCCTG